TGCTCTTCTAGATTCTGCTACGCTCACAGTTAAAGTGAAACAGAGTATTGTGTTGAGAACATCACAATTCACCAGAAAACTGAACTGTTTAACAATGTTCGCATGTGACATTGCACCATGTGCTAATGATCAGAGATTTCTTTTTGCTGAGAAAATCAAATCCCACGGTGCAAAATGCCAGCTGCAGATGGTTAGTGCTCAGTGCAATTCATGTACTGAGAAAATAAAATAATTCTTGCTTGGTGCAGCATCGTGAGGAACGGCGCGAGCGTCTGGCACCAGGAAAACGCGCTTTCTGGCAGGACTAATTTTGCAAGCGAACTACAAACATATTTGAATTCTCCGCAAACTTGCGAATAATTCAAACTAACATGCAGGTCCCATCCTATGTGTCTCTATAGGAGGAAACTCCCGGTAATTCAAACTTTGCTGTATTCAAACAAATTTTCGATCCCCCTCGAGTATGAATTAACCAGATTTGACTGTAGTTTCGCGGGATCACACTGTCTGGTCTGAGGGACTCCCTCGTCCATTTGGGGGTGCCAATTCGAAAAGTATATTTGTATCATTTGTGAACAGTAAACCTCCGTTTCTTTTATTTTGCACCCAAAAACTGGAGTTTAAACAAAACTGTAAGAATTTGAGCGTCTGCCAACATGCGGCTGTCTGCCTAAGGCCACTAGAATCTTTCTTTGCAGGTATCCCTACCGTACACACTTGTAGTTTTATTTACCGTAAGATTAATAAGCCATATTTAGTCTTTTCATTGCTTCTATTATCCAGGACAACTTTCTCAGACAGTTCAGCCACAACGAAAACATGTTTGTGTGCCTCAATGATGTGTACATGTAAAATGGTTCATGCAGCAATTTTTATACTTTCAGTAAATACCGCTAAGAGCTAATCCCTGACCGTTGATAGCTTGCAAAAACACCCATTAGTTTTCCTCTCCGCTCAATGGTAGATGCAGAAAAAATAAAGGAAAAAAAAAAGCTTTCCCCTCCTCAACTTGGTATTATAAAACAAGCAGCGATTCAATCTGACGCTAATTGTATACCGCCAGCGTTCAACATAGTCATGCGTTGGGGATGGCAAAGAATAAAGCATGGGTTGAGCTTTAGACATTGTTAAAGCTTGAGCTTTAGACATTATTAAAGCTCGGCTATTCTCATATTTGATTGATTAAACACTAGCCAACACGAATGTTTGCAATGCCGATCGTCAAGAACCCAAGCTCTCGACTCGGGCTCATGACAATCGAATATGTCACGAAGTCTCGCGGTGAGAAGTCGTGATGGGATGTGACTTCATGGTGTCAACAACGCTAACACATCTATAGCCACGTTTACATAAATGCAACTTAGTCGCATCGAATCCAATCGTCACATTCAATGCGGTCATGTAAACGGCATAATGCGCTAGGGACGCGCATCGCATTCAAGTCGCTGGACAGAGATGGATCGAGACGCCGAATACGCATTCATTCAACCCATGTAAACGAAGGTCGCATCGCATTTCGGAACGGGGAGGATTATGGGAAGGCGCGTGCTGCGGGAGAACAGCTGAGAACATGGCGGCGGCAAACCCTGTCGGCGGCGGCAGCGGATAGCAGTCCCGTGTGGCTGTCCCCAGTTTTTCCCCGAGGAGAAACAAAACTAAATGAGCGGAATATCACTGAGCTGCTCGGAGAGGGCGGCCCTCGTCCAAGCCTTGCTAAGTACAACTTGCGCATCCGAGGGAGTCCATAGAGGCTTCGGTGCAAGCACAAACGACGCCGAGAGCTCCGAGCACTCCATGGTAGGGCAGAACGAGCAGCTCCTACCTGGGCGTGCGGTCGCAGTTCACAATGCTTGGCGAGGCGATGCGCGGTGGCGTCCTTACAGCGGTTAGAAACAATCTCGCTCACCAGGCTGTGCACACGCACGTCGCCTCCGATCCAGAGTGGCCCAGCGGCCCGACCCGGAGCCTATAACGCTAGAGTTTTGACGTTTCTTCCAACTCGTAACTTCTTGCATGGCATCGAAGACAGCGGCCACAATCTTTAACATTCCGAAAGCGTTGAAAGGCATTCACGTGCGATGCACTGAAAAATGTGGTCGCGTGGTGCGGCCGCTACCAGAAACGCAACTCTAACTTTGAGCTTTGACACGGCGTGGCGCCACTTTCTCGTAGGATTTGGTGTGCATTCATGTAAATGTTGCCACGTCGGCTTCATTCGAAGTATGACTGGAGTCTATGCGCATTCATGTAAATGCGGCTTATAGTCCGTTGCAACTCAAGAAGGTAGGGCGAGGAAAAGGAAGGTCGGGGAGGAAGAAGCAGACCGAACGCTGGAGAAGAAAAGGGGAAACCTCCTCCTCTTTCCAGCGTTCAACCTGCTTCCTTTTCCACGGCCTTCCTTTCCCTCACCCTACCTTCTTGAGTTGTATGGACTTTAGTAATATTCTCAGTTTAAAGGGGTCCTGCAATCATATTTAAGCGTCTACCTTTTTTGCTGTTTCCACGTCTCTTGGGGTTCGGGCAAGCCAGCGGCCACGGGGAGAGTAACTAAATATCAGTGCGTCGTATTTTAACCGGACGACGCGGATACCTCCTCTACCGACGAGGGCGACCCGCAGTACCGAAAGCGCACAAAATGTGATGTCTTTGGTCCTTGGCATACTACTAGTCATAGCCGCTAAAAGCTTCTTTTTAGTAGACATACAAAATATAGGTGGCGCGAACCGTTTAAATTATTTATAAAAGTAGTTTTTGTTCAGTATTTTAGATCAGAAAAGAAACAAATGTAGTTTATAAAGTACGAAAACAAAAAATGAGCCGTCGACACACCCGCCACCAAGCGGCGGAAAAGGCGGTGCATACTAGAAAGGAGTAGTGGGATCAGACGCCGACACGGCAAGGTCCCGGATGTACGCGGCAGCGCTGCGGTCATATGGGCAGGAGGATCCAACCGGCTCCGAGCGATCCGAAGGCCTTCGGCGAGAAGCTTTGTCTTGCGGTTTGGCCGTTTCACGGTATGGCAGCGGAAAGTGGCTCCCATTCTAAACTGATCTTTACCCCGTGTTTGCTGTTGTTTGTGGCCAATGAAGTGTCATGCCGAATTAGTATTTAATCGCGCAGCAAATGCGATGAGAGCCTCTCTGGCTGCATACAGCCTATGCAGGACTAGGGAGGCTCAAGTAAGGGTGGGTGCAACTGCTAGATCGGCGATCACGCGGCATGGACGCCATTTAATTGCTAAATTTTGCTGGGAGTCTATGGGGCTAAGGGTCGTTTTCTTTCCTAACTCAGGTCATAAAAGCCCATTAAGGTGCTTGAATAATTTACACAAGGTATAAATGATTACTTTTCCATAGCCACCAGTTTTGTTGCGATAGGTTAAGTATTTTTTTAACGCGAAAAATGGTAAATTCCGCCATCTTGGACGTTGCTGCTTGTCTGGCAACCCTGCTTTCTCCGCTCGACGTTTGCAATTCTCGGAGCGAGGAGGAAGCGAGAGAGGCTGCGCCAAGGCGCTCGTTGCTTGCAATGGGAGGCGAGAGGAGGAAAGGCGCATGGAGCAACAGAGTTGCAACAGAGCGGGCGCTTGCTCTCGTGCAGGCAACACTGGCGCATATCCTTTCTCGAATCCTCTCCCTCAGGCACCGCCATTAAATTGCAAACGCTCTCCAGGTTTTGAGTTGCGCCCACCCTCACTAGAGCCTCCCTATGCAGGACATGCTATAGTGGCGCCCTCTCGCGCCGTCGACAGGGAGTGCGGCAGCCGTGAGCGCTCGATAAGCTCACTACCCCTGCTCTAGTTCACGGCCACTCTCAAGCAACCAAGGACGTCATGAGGGAGATTATTTTTTGCTTGTTTTTGCAATTTTAATTTGCGTATAACTTTTAAAATAAAGGGAATTTCGAGAAAAGAAAAGTTTCACTAAATTACTACGTTCAGTGCGCTCAGGTTCAGTGCAAATTAAAAACCAGTAAAAAGGTCCTTGCAAGGCCCCTTTAAGTCGACTTGACATGGTGAGTCACGTGACTATGTCTCGGGGCCACGTGACCCGACATTGTGTGACAGCATGTTTTGACACCATGACGTCACATGACCACGTTACACATGATAAATTGTACAGCCAATACAAAAGCACCACGAAAACCCACTATTTCACATACCTTGTAATTCGGTATATGACAGTTTGATCACTACATAGAAATACAGCCAGCAATTTTTACTTCTCAATTGCTCATTTTGTAAAAAAAAAAAAAAAAAAAAAAAATTACCACGACCCGTTTTGAACCGGTCACCGTTATATATTTTTCCGGTTCAGTTCCAAAATGGCGGCGAAGATTTCGGTTCGGCTCAGTTCCGGTTTGGCTAAAAATAACAGTTCGGTTATGGTTTTCGTTTTGATTCCGGTTCCAAATTCTTTGTAAAGGAAAAAAAGGAAAAAAGGGTCACTGGACATGTCTATATGTCAAAAAAGCAGTCCAGCTGTACATACTTAGTGTTGTATAAGGCTGCTAAGACTGAGCTTTTTTAAAATTCTAGAACTCTTCATCTTGGGCACACAGGAAGGGAAGGGGGACACGCTGACCTGGGGGCCACAAACCAATCACGCGCAGCGACTTCCCTGTAACTTGAACTTTTTAGTATGTGTGTTTGTGGGGTGTATGTGTCTGAGCCTTCGACTGTACTCCTCCGACCTAAGATGAAAAAAAAAAACTATACGGTGAGTAGACAAGAAGCTGTCAAATCATATTAATTTCCTTTCCTTCTACTACTCTGAAAATTAAAATCAACCAATAATAAAATACTTTTATATTTCACTTTGCTTAAACCTATCGGTGCAGGTGTGGCACAATTCTTAGTTTCTTGGGTGCACGATGCAACAGACTTTCATTTCCGGCACTTCCATCACTCTAAAGCGATTCCGGTTGTATTGAGAGTTGGCAAATGAAAATAAGGAGACACTTCAATCGAAAACAGTCGCAGAGAGGTTGCGGCAACCCACCGTACGGTTCAGGAGATACTTGGGAGAGACGTCCAGCTCTTCAACGTCATCTTCGCAGAACGGTTTCTGGTCGACGGGACAAGCGCTTCCTCGTTCGACGCACTCAGCATGGCACTTTGTGCACAGTGTGTGTACGCAGGGAAGCCTGACTGCTTTCTTGTACACGACGCCGCACAGGGCACAGGCTCTCTGCGCAATGATGGGTTCTTGGAACAGCATTGGCCTCCAGTCGAGGGCGTCGGAGCACCCGGCAACCCTGAAGGATGCCATTTCCAGTTGGGAACCGTTGCCTGTTCCGTTGATGGCAGGCATGGAATGCTGTGAAATTAAAAACAACAGATCAGATGACCATAGATTATTGTTCAATAAATTTGGTTGAACTCATTGCAAACTGATGTTCTAGGTGATATCCATTATGCTTGTTTAGGAGACAAATATATAGTTATTTTTGCGTCCCTCATTTCTTTAACATCAAATTGTTTCTTTTGAGATCTAATAATAGAAATAATAAATCTTAATAATAGAAATAATAGAAAAATTGACCCCCATACTAATGTAATCTTCTTTTGTAAGATGCTTAGAGCTCATAGATTGAGTTATGACCATAAATAAACTATTGCAGAAAATGGTTTAGTGCCCCTTTAGAGTGGCGCAAGACGTTGAATGTGGAACTAATAAGGTGAGTTCTAAAATATACAGAACTCAAGTATGGTTCATAAAGTTTAATGGAATCGTTATCAATTTATAATAAAATAAATTAAAATATTGTTTTATTGTTTTTTCCATTCCTATCTTTTTCACGAAAAAACTAGTATCAGTTACCGAACTTCGTAAGCAGAGAACTTTTGTATATCTGGTATTTGGTAAAATAAAATTGCTACTTTCTAACACTTTGTTCAATGAAAAAATCACAAAACAAGGGAAACAATCGACTAATTCCATTCAAGCTCAACCAAAACTGTGCAAAACATTTGATTAAATTAGACTCCTTCATATGCAAAAACAAAAAAAAAATCATCTGAATTTTTCTTTATTTTTAATGAATCTACACTCCACAATACAATACTATTAAATTTCATGCAGGTCATGCCAAAGTGTGACTGCTTGTTTAAGGCTCTTATAAATGTTTATTACATTCCATTCAATTTTATGAGCCCCACTTCACTTAAAAAAGTTTCTGCTGTGCATACTGGTTTTTTGCCCAAGAGCTCATGGGAACAACTGAAATAAATATTCTTAGTAAGAAGTAATTTAACTGTTTTACCAAAGACTTCTCAACAGTTCCTATTTTTCAAACACCACATTTCTCAGTCAATTACCGATACATGCCTTGCACAAACGCTATGTCATTCATTTTGCACAACTGAAGAGAGAGAGGGGGAAGATGCTTTCATACAAATTTTAAGTGACTGGTTAATCTTCTATAAACTTCTAGAGGGAGAATAGCGAATTCTGAGCAAGTCTGGGGACACACAAAGGAGAGTCCCGGTGAAAAGAGAGTTCCTCCTTCCCTTTTTCTCTTGTGGTTGCTTGAGAGCTTACAAGTTGACGTCAATGCAAGGCATCTATTCGAGACTCCAACTCACTATAGGTGGCGCCACTCGTTTATCAAAACGGCGGTTATAGTGAGGGTCAAAGATATGTGCCGGTATACCAGTTGCGGAGCTTCTCTAGTGTGCGTGCTGGCTTCACTGAGCGATACAAATTATTCCTGCTTATCAAGAAGCTAGGGTGTTATGAGCACAGGTCACCTCTTTCTCCCGAAAACAAAAACGGTGCTCAGCATAATATTTGTGCCAGGAGGCACATCTTAATTCTCGAACGAAACCGGTACTAACCCTAATTTGAATTTACTTTCTCGGTATAGGTGTTAATTTCGGATTCCCCACGGCGTGATTATTGAGCTAAACAAGTTGTTTCCGGAAACCTTACTTTGCAACATACGTGTGCGACCCAGGCACTTCCAAATATTTTGAAGAGTTCCGTGTCCCTTCAAAAACAGGGTCTTTCATACACCTTAGAGGTAACATAGAATATTGTATTTGTTGAAAAAAGTTGGCGCTGATATTTGTGTACTTGCTGCCTTTCCTCGCTCCGATAATTGTCAAGTGAAATCATGAACTGCGGGCCTTTTAATGGGTTCTTGCGTATTTAGATGAGTAAATGATTTAACTATATTCCCAGCACAAAAATACTAAATCAAACCAAAGTTTATAAGATATCGCCAAGGGTGAAGAGTTCAAAATATGTTAACGAAACATAAAAATTAGACGCTATTCTCACTACAAAAACCGGAAAACGGAATCCGAGTCAGACAGCTGAAGTGTGTGTCTGTTTCTAAAGCAACGTGTGACACATAGGACTTTATATTACATCTAGTGTTTGACTCTTTGTCTATCTTGATAATGATGTCAGAGCTCTAAAAAGAAAACACAATTAAACCTTTCTGGAGACTATTATGGTTAAATGGTGTATTGTCGTGATCGTGGCGTTTTTTAAGGACCTACATTACCGCAATTTCTACTAATAATTAAGATATTTTAGTATGTAGTCTTTTCAAGCTCTAATATAATTTGTTGCTTATTTTCTAATTTCAAATGTGCAAACAAGTAAGGCAATCAAGACTGTGCAACTTATCGCTGGTGCCAATTGCAGCATTCTTATTTAAGTTATAAAATAAAAATAGCCTAAAATCAATTAAAACATTCTAGCTAATCTGAGAAATGCATGTAAAATTACAAGAACTGTGGGTAAAGCATATGGTGCTATCGAAATCGGGACATTTGGCAAGCGGTGAAACTTCCAAAATTGCCTCGCCTCCCCTCCCCCCCCCCCCCCCCCCCCCTTCTTCAAAAAAATAAAAACAGATTTTTTTTTTTTTTTTTACAAAATTTTCCAAATATGTTGTTTCTTTCAATTTTACGCTCCGTCGTTTTGCCAATCTCACCTTCAGAGTAACGTCTACCCGCTTGCACCGTCTGCTCACTGCAACGCGTTTCATTGGCATTAGAAACCAGTGAAAGAGTAGTGAGTTCTTTAGTGCACATACGAGCGAACGGAAGCTGAAACAGAATTTGTGCAATACAACCGCAGAGATTCTGTTTCAGCACTGAGACAAGTGGCACAACTTGATTATTTGGCCAAGCGAAGACAAATCACAAGACTAAATAAACTCTTTTGCATTGCAAACGGAATGACGAAGGTTGATCCTCAGTTGTACCTGCAACCTTCAACATCACGGTCCCAGAGAACCACTTGCATAAAGGCGATTGCTCCTAACATTATAAAAATGATGTTTTCAAGTATTCCTTTTTTTGTAGAGCAATTATTGAATGAAAAGCTCTGCCCAACAAAGCTGTCAGCTGCAATGAGCTGAACTCATTCGAGTTAGGATTATGCAAGTGTTTGCCTGATATATGCATGTATTGCATGTTGAATATGTACTTAAAAGATGCATAGGAGGCAACCTGTGCTAGTGTAATCATCCATCCGTAAATAAATAATAGTGTGTTTGAGTTAACGTTGAGTGTTTAACACCGCACGTGCGCGGAGCCTAAAATTGCAGTCTTGGCTTGGTGCAAAGTGACGATGCGCGTGCGGAGCACGCAACTCTAACGCAAACGCAAAGCACCTCTGTCTGCTTCTATATATGCCTTGCAAGTAACATCATGCTAGGTAAGGACGGGGCCCTCCACCATACTGGTGGTTGATTTCACAACGCGCCGATGTGCTTACCAAGGTGTAGGATGCACTGACATGCAGCATATTCTGAACAGAGCTACCTAGTTGTGTTCCATGTGAACTTGGAAAAATGTGCCGAGCTCACGATGATGACATTCAGCCAGTATGTGCGGAATTTTTCGGCATTGGTGCGATTGTGCTATGAGCAGTGAGTTTCGATATGCCATTAACAAAGTTTTAACGCAAAAAACTGTTGTTACGAAGAAAAAAAAAGTTTAATGGCACATTCTAAAATTTGATAAGCGGCTCCAGTAGTCGCCTGCAGAAAGATTGTTACGATTTTGTGAAGTACTGGTAAAGAATGCAAGGTTACCGTCATAATCTAAACCCTAAGACAAGGATAAATTAAATAACAGAAAAGACAACTCTCATTGTCTCAGGGTTTATATTATGATGTTTCCTAACCGGCTCACTTGCCTACTTTCGCTCCTTGCAAAGGTTACCGTCTCCCGGACGCCACAAACCGAAGCCCCGGCAACGGCGTCCTGGCGAGCTTGCACACGGGGGCTGCCACCGACCGATCGCGGTCCGGCCGGGCTCGCGGCGAGACACTCGCCCGTATTCAGCAACAAGCCCCGAAGGTGCACTCGAAGCGTGGAAAGGCAAAAGGCATCTACACCACGAACGGCAAAAGTCGAAGCAAAGGCATGCGCAAACGTAAACAATGGTAGAAAAGTGCCCTCGCTCGCTGCTACGAAATGCGTCCCGCAAGCTTGGTAATCCGCGGTCGCCTCCCTTTCCTGCCGCTCGTACACTTTCTCTAACTTGACAACTGCTCTGTCTAGCGGGGCATGCTGACGATACGATCGGATGATAAGATATGTAGTAATTGCTACAGCAGCAGAGCGTGTCGCAGTTTACCATTGCTCTCGCTGCGAAGGGTCATCGAGTAAACCATCACAATGGTGGATATCGGTGTTCAATGTCATGTCACGTAGGTAGTATAGTTTCGTCAAAACACGTTTCATGGAAATATGTTTCGTGGCAGGCACGTAGCCAGGGGGGGGGGGGGGGGGGGGGGGACCATGGGGCCCAAGCCGCCCGCCCGCCCGCCCCACCCCCCGAAATCTTCCATTTTGCTGGCACCTCCTCTCCCCCCTCCGCCTCATACAGCATTTTGTCTTCGGTGGGCCCCCCCCCCCCTGGCTATGTGCCTGTTTCGTGGACAACTTTCCATGGACACGTTTCGTCGACACTGCGGTGTTTCGTGGACACGTGCTCCTGCAACGTTTCGTGTACAATTTTTTGCTTCTTTTTTATGTAGATATGATTATTCGCATATTGGAACTAAAGCGGACTCATCCAGTGAATTCCGATACGGAAAAACAAACCTGCGAGCCCTAATCACTAATCCTACATTTCCAACCAGTCCACACCACGCGCATACATCCCTCTCTCCTTCGTCGGGTTTGGCAAACGAGGCTACCAATCGGATGCTGGCGACAAGACACGTCCGACGAATTGTTGCAAAGTCTGTCATGAAACAAACTATCGATGAAAGGTCGTAGGGTCGACGAAACTATCTGTACATGAAACATAAATGGACGAACTGAGTGCCAACGCCTGCATGTGTCTAATGGCGAATTCCACTGGGCGTTTTGGAGCGCGCCGGGATCAGCTGACCAGATCCGGAATGGAGCACACAATCCGAACGGGGTTGCGCCGCCTACAGATCCCCAGCGGAATATGACAACTGCTCCAGGATCGGCGGATGCCTTCCCGTCATTCACCTGCCCGGGAATCCCCTTTCCGCTGCCGCCACGGTTGTTTCGAAGACGTTTTTGCAATCGCGGCGCTAACAGTGTTCGACGCACGAGTGGCAGGAATGGCTCAGGAGCTTCTAGCAAAGATTGCCGGAATGCCGGAAGCTGCTCGAGCAACTTGACGACGAACTGTCGTCAAGCAGCAGCAGCAGCAGTAAGGCGGGCGGCACAGGCGGCATCTCCCGAGCGGCCATTACGAATTCTTCTGAGGCGAGGTGGGCGCAAGAAGGTTAGAAGTACTAGGAGGGGGCACGTTGCAATATTGGTGAAGCCTAGTAATAAAAAGTTTAGAGTAAAGCTATACGCACTCCGCAGTGCACTTCGGGCGGAAATGGCTATACGCACTCCGCGGAGAGCTCATACCGTTCGGGCCACCCTTTTCGAACGGCGCGTGTGTCACTGGGGAGCTCGTTAACACAGCCTCCCGCCTGCGTTCACGCCGCTGCTAATTACAAAACTTAACCAGAACACGCCGCTTCGCGGCGCCCAGCCACCAACTCAAGCCTCGCTATCCCCGATCGGACCTCCGGAAAGGAAGTCTCATACCATTTACTTCTGCAAAGTTTCGTCAACAAGATTCATTTGTTTCTTTTCAGTGGTATTCGTAAAAAAAGAAATGTCGTAAATATTGCCAAATGCCCCGACAAAACAAAATCTTCGAAAAAATAAAAGAAAAAAAAGTAGGCCCACACGGATCAAACCTGCGTCCATTTGCGTATAAAGCGGACACCTAAACCCCTATGCTATGCCATCGCTCAGAAAACACGTGACCATTTGTTTTATACGAGATTAGCGGAGTGCGTATAGCCAATTCCGTCCGAAGTGCACGCCGGAGTGCGTATAGCTTTACTCAGAAGTTTAAACGATGTCGTGGCCAACGTGACCGTAGATCTCTCTGGCAATTGGTGCGCATGACATGTCCTGTGTGAGATGGATGGTTGGTTGTAGAAGGACTTCTTGCAGGCTTGCGCGCGCTCCAATCGGTAGGTTTTATCAGATCGAAGGCTAGACTGCGGTGTATTCTAGTACCCCATAGCTAGACGAAGGCTAGCTACGGTCACGTGATGTGGTCACGTTGGCCTGGTAAGTTAGGAGAGAAGGAGGAAAATGAGAAAGAGGTGAGGCGTCAAGGGAGCATGGCTTGTGTAGGCTACGCGGCTGGCGTCATGCCCTCTCCTACCCTTTTATCCTCCTTGGATGGGCGATATCAGGCGAGATGCCCCGAGAGAAAGGAAGTCACGTGTGTGCGCCGAGTGCTTGCCCGGCTGGTTTCCGGTTGAATCCAACGAAATCAGCGGAGCGACTTTTTTCGGATTCAGATCGAGATCTAGAGCGGGAGCTAATCCAAAACAACCAGTGGAACACGTTCGTCTCGATCCCGATCGCCCGCCGCCGCCGCGATCGGGATCCAGAAAAGCCGATCCCGGCGCGCTCCCAAAACGTGGAATTCACCATAAATCAAATCGGAAGAGGCGGGGATCTATTCGTCACGTAGCACAATCAGAATTGGGTGTGAAATGGGCACAGCCCAACCTCGCTGTTAACACACGAAGCACAATACAAATATGGCCAATCAAATTGCACCCGCGAATAATTCTATTTTGTGGCCTATTGACAGAACTGACTTTCAATCTAAATATTGTCCGTTGTAATCACCTTGCTGGTGGAAAGCGAAGCCTACAAACATTCGTCGTTGTGCTGAAAGTTACAACCGCTTCGTGAACGAGTGGGAGAAAGAAAATGGGCTTACCAGTCTACAAAGCTGTGAAGTGAACACTCTTATACCAGGATTAACGACGTCAATCACCTACACGAGCGAACGATGCAATGAACAACAGTCAACTCGACTCAAAAATGCTGCAAAACGCGCTTCGGCTAGCTTCGGCTACGGATAGGCTTGGGAGAAGCGATATATCAGCTGACACAATCCAAGCCAATTCAAGCTCAGGAAAAAAACGACGCACGCAATGGCGCGGATTTTGTGACGCTGCTGTACTCATCTCCTCAAAGTGCTCTATCAGAATAGGACAAGCTTCGCAAAAACATCGTTGCTGGTACGTATTCTAGAGTCAGAGGAGCCATTAACTTAATTAAAATTAACTGTTGGGCTAGTTGGTTAGTTGTTCATTCTTTGTCCTGTCCTTGTCCCTTGCGCTTTTGTAATTAAGAGCCATTAACGCGGACGACACGGGCTCACCGACCCATCGGCCGCTGCACTGCAAGTAGGTTGTAGCAGTTGAAACTAAATATTTGAGAGAAATCTCTGGTTGGGAAATACAACAATTAAAATATGGCAACCAACCAATTCCTAGACATGTAGGAGCTTTACGGTTCGAACCGACTCGGTTCTTCGTCAGGGGCGACCGTGGCCGTCGAGGTGCGGCGTTTTTCGGTCTTCTTTTTTCTTCTCTCAGGGATCTGGCGCATTTCTCGATCTTCTTCTTTCATAAATATGGCGAAGCCCGTTCACATACACTGTTGGTAAAGCGCCAAGGCACCTATTTATGTTGCCTGGCGTCGTTTGAATATGCCAGGACTCGATTAAAAGCCTATGTCGGTTGTTAGACTCTGCGTCGATAATGCTGGTGTTGTCGAAGTCAATCCGGTGGTCTTTGACTTCGCAGTGCTCAGCGACTGCGCTGCGCTCGTGGTCGAGCTTGCGGACGTCGTTTTTGTGTTGGCGTATTCTTTCATTAAAATTCTTTGTCTCGCCGATGTAAGTGGCTGGACAATCTGCACAAGGGATCTTGTAAACCACGCCCTGCGTTTTTTCTTTCGGAGGGCGATCTTTTGGGCGGGGCATGAGTAATCCAAGCGTGGAAATCGGCTTGTGGGCCACGCTGATTCCTTCTTTGGCTATATGCTCGTCTGGGGATGACAGAAGAAAGGAAGAAAAACCGTCTGTGCTGATCTGAAAAAGAACGGATACACGAGCACCTTCATCCAACGCGTTGCCCGTCGTCAAGCTCGAGATCGCAGACACCAGCAACCACAAGCCTGTACGCAGCCACGCTCAACCTCGCGCATCTGCGTACCCTACATCAAAGGAACAAGCGAGGTGCTTGCACGCGTGCTAGCCTCGCTTGTAGCACGCGTGCTAGCCTCGCTCCAGTCTTCTTTTCTGATAATGCAGTGAAAGGTAAGCTGTCGCATGCCTAAATCACACGTCGGCCATGCAACCTCAACATTATATGGGATATTAGAATGGGCAGTGGCGTCGAAAGTGTTTGGGAGGCGAGGTGGCAGTGGGGTATGGCATGTGGGAGTAGAGAGATAAGTGTCACCGAAAAAAGATCTGGGGGGGGGGGCATGCAACTGTATTGCGTAATGATAAACAATTAGGTACATTTTAGAAATATAAAGCCATCTATTGCACACTTCCATCACTAAAAGTGGTGTAAATTGTCAATTTTTATGACCACTGAGGTCACATATAACATAGAGGTTTTTTTTAACACACCTGCGAGGGCTGATACAGCCCAACTGACTTCCGGAGTTGCATTCTTTAGTGTCAGGCCTCTGATTTTGGTACAACTGTTTTTCTTAGCAATAATGTGACAGCAGTAAATACCTGGGTGGTGTCTCCATAACTTAATACATAAAACACTTTTGAGTAAAAACAATATTGTTTGTTTCAGTGCATAAGAGGCCTCCTAAGGAGTTCACTAGCCTTGCGTTAGCACGTCGGTAAAATCTGTACAGCCAATTGCTTTGAGACGCTTGCTCCCAGACTCCTGAGAGTGGTGGCAGGAAGAAGCCTTGAAGCATTTTTGACATTTCAGAAATATTTAAACTCAAAATATTTAAATTTCTTCAGCACGCAAATTAAGTTAGTTTGCGTATTTCCGAATACAAACCTTGTGCGATTAAGGAAAGGTATGTCACGAGACGGAACGCTAAAAACCTCTGAACAATGACACTCCCCAAAATTTTTGTTTTATTTTGTGCCAGGCAATTTATTATGGTGTCAAAAGAATACCCAATCAATATTTTGCTACAGCGTCAGATATATTTTTAACAAAGTCAAAAAACGCAACTGCTCGAAATCGAAACTAGACTGGAAACTGGAAACAGAAAGAAAAAATAGAGAGGAGAGAGTTGGAGGAAGTCACGTGGCTGTGCAACATTTTGTTTCTTCAATCGACATATTTGCGGCATTTTAGAAGACACGAAAAATGGGTATCATATTTCTTTTCTATTTTTAATATTGAGTGTGTCCTTTGATGACCCACAACTTCGATTATATTTGGTGGCTGTGTCTAAAGCATGGAAAACGGCACGTGAGCATAGAGAAGAGAGTGAGTTCGACTCGGACCGGGCATTTCTCGATCGGCGGTTTTCGGGCGGAAAAAAAACGAATTTCGAGCCGCAAATTGTGTTCTGGGTAGTTGGACTCTCATATGTCATGTACAAATCAAAACCTTGGCAAGTGTAAATACCCTGTCGGTGTCCCTTTAAGAAATAGGCCCCTAAAATCTCAAAGTTATCACTGCCAATTTCCTTTGGGCAGCACATCCATCGTACTGCATGTTCGAAAACCCTACTTTTTGAGACTCGGCCCAGCCTGGGCTCGCTAACTTTTAGTGTTGCCCCATCTGGACCCGGCCCGATGGGATGCCTACCTGATCAGGCCCGGCCCAGTGAGAGGCCAAGGTGTGCCTCATCTCTTAAGTTCCAAGCTGCCCTGATTGGTGTTGGTGCATTTGATTCGTTTACTAATTTGCATGAGAGACACTGTCATATCGCGGTTACGTGGTGAACATTTGAAGGAGCTTATCTTAGGTAGCCAGCGAAATTCTTTTTTTTATTCGGGAGTTCGAAAGGGAAAGGGAAAAACAATCGCACTGCCCCGTGTCCGGATTGCCCTCGTTTTTTCGCCTGTTGGCAGCTGTCCCACTATGCTGATGGGATACCTAGAATTCTCTGTATCTTGTGGGTATTTTTAGGCCAAGATAGCTTTCTTTATTTCTTATATCAGGGTGTCGAACCGGAACCGAACCGGTATTTTTTCCGGAACTGAACCCAAACCCGAACCGTTATATTGTTATCGCGATGAACCCGAACCGGAACTGAACCGGAAAAAAAATAACGGTTACCGGCTCATGTCAAAACGGTTCGGCCACGCGCTGTTGACAATGAATGTGCTATCAATGCCATTTGTTTTTAAGTGCCGTCAACTGACACACACCTCGCTTACATATTTTTCTTCTCCACTCAGTCTTAGGAATATAAACGCTGCATCCATGAATCTTGACATAGGAACCAGTATTGCGCTGGTCGCGGCTTGCACGGAAGAAAAAGAATTGGAAGGCTGTGCAAAAAAAAAAAAAAAAAGATTGCGTCACGGGGTTTTATTTTTCTACAATCTCGTAAATCCTAAATGCTGCTGTGTGCTCATTTCATAACACGTTTCTAGAACGTGCGAGTTCTTAAAGCTTGCTTCCATCGGAGTGAGAAAAGAAAAGGCTATGGAGTTTGATAATAATGCATCCGGTTTCGTATAGGCACTTAGAAGCTAACATATTTGTGAGACAGCGAACTCTTCTATTTTAATATTTATCCTATTACGTCCTTCTGGCGTTGCATTCGGTGAAGTATTTGAGTTACCGAAGGCTAGTTCAAATAAAGAAAGCTGTATTTTCTCCCCACTGTTCCTTTAATTGCTTACACGCCGAGGTGGTGGGATAGTTAGCGAGTTCTACTTGTAAGTGGGTTTGTAAGGAGGTCGTGGATTTTACAGCTACTGCGTCGGACCCAATTAGATGAAGTCCGAGTGCGTAAACGTCGGTCAGGTAACCTTTGAGTGCACATAAAGAAACCATTCCTGGTAGAAATCCCCGAGCCTTACACTACGATGTATCCCGTTTCGTATGTGCTGATTTCAGATGTTTTATTTGTAATTTATTTTAATGTTGCAATTTGTCATTTATAATTTCCGAACCGGTTCGCGAACCGGTTCGCGGATCGAATTAATCGAACTGGAACTGAACCGGAACAAAATTAATTTACCTGAACCTGAACCGTAACCGAACCCGTATTCTTTTTTCGGTTCGACACACTGATATATATATATATATATAAACAATGAACCGGGAAAAGTTAATAAGTGAAAGATGCGTACTGTCGGAGTTACTAATTCGAAGTTTATTACGACGTTTCGAGCGGGGACCGCTCTTCATCAGGTAGCGAGTGTACAGCCCGCGAATGTTTATATACCCCTAAGAAGAAATTAGAGGGAGTAAAGTGCAGTAGGAAATAGAAACAGCGTTGACAAAACAGATAGTTTACACAGAAAGGAGAGGGCACCAAAACTTGACAATCATCAAAAAAAAAAAAATCGGTTTGCAAAAAGAGATTATTTACGCTCGTGCGCAAAAAAAAAAAAAGAAAAAAAAAGTTGTTGGTGGAGAGATTATTTCCTCTCACACAAAAAAAAATAAAAAAAATAAAAATAAAAAGTGTTTGAAAGTCTTGGGTTGGGAAGGGGTGGCTCGTCTTCAAACCAGAAATAGGATACATGTGACCACCGACGCCCCCAAATCCCGTGGCATTCCTTTGTGCTAGAGGTCGAAGTTAAACACTTTGGGGGATATTTCCTTGGATAAGGAGTGGTAGGAATGTGACAGTCTATGCCTGCCTGAGATTAACCGCTTGAGCCGCATTTATCCGTTTTGAAGGTTCTCTTCGGACTTAAAAGCATTAGGATGTGGTTTAACTATCGATTGTTAAGTTTAAAGATCTCCTAGTGTCTTCAGCCATAGCCTCCTCTATACGGAGAAAGCCTGGCACATCGACGACGGAGCAATAGGGCGCGCGGCCGCAGGAAAAAGGAGAGGAGGAGCGCGCCGAACGGTGACCAATATGGTAGCGCAGAGCAGAAAGGGCAGACCTAGACAGCGAGCGCTTGGGTCATGAGCGGCCGCTCCCCGAACCACGCTTGTTTTTGTGTTTTCGTCACCGTCGTTTTTGTACTCCGGGAGAAACGGGCGCGGCGATTCGAAAGGGCGCAGGGAGAAACGGGAAAGGGTGGACGTTGAGTTTCTCCTCTCCGCGATAGCGACAAGGGAGAGAAAAAAAAAAAAAGATTGTTTCTGCGTTTGGCCGCTCGCTCTTTTGTGGCGCTAGCGGACAAGGTTCTCTCCGCTCCCGTTTCTCCGCCCCTCCTTTCCCACTTACGGCGGCCGTCTTTTCACGCGACGCGCCAGGCTTTCTCCGTATAGAGGAGGCTATGCTTCAGCGTGTGCATCTAGAGAAGCTCAAGGGCGGAGAGCATCAGCTCTCCAACGAGCCAGCTGCAAACTAAACAGCCTTCCCGGGCTTCAGCACAAAAATTGAAAGAGAGCAAAAAGAATCATATTTTATTTATAAGTTTAATACCTTCAACCAGGGCATTAATGAAAGTCCGGGAAGGCTGTTTAGTTTGCAGCTGGCTCGTTGGAGAGCTGATCTTCTCCGCCCTTGAGCTTCTCTAGATGCACACGCTGAAGACACTAGGAGATCTTTAAAGGGACACTGACAGGGTATTTATGCTCGCCGAGGTTTTTAGTTGTACGTGACATATGAGAGCTCAACTACCCAGAACAAAATTTGCGGCTCGAAATTCGGTTTCTTTCCGCCCGAAAACCGCCGATCAAGAACTGGCCGGTTCGAGTCTCGCTCACTCTCTTTTCCGCGGTCACGGGCCGTTTTCTAAGGTATCGATGCGACCACCAAATTTAATCAAAGTCGTGGGTCACTGAAGGCACACACTCAATATTAAAAATAGAAAAAAATATGAAACCCATTTTTTGTGGCTTCTAAAAAGCTGCAAATACGTTGATTGAAAAAAAAGTTTCAGACAACCGGAAGCATTCTGTGCGTGCGTCGTTTCGCAGGGACGCGATGGCAGCGGACGACGGGCGTGGGACCTCTATTTCAGAACTGTCGTTCGCGGTACAGGAGAATTTTGTCTGCCTTTAAAAGAGAAATTTGGGACTGATCAAAAGAATTGGTCTTCATCCTGTACGACACGCCCGACCACCAAGCCGCTTTGCACGAAGACGTCGCCGAGCCGTCGCTCCCTTCTCGTGGCTGAAGACATCGCTCGCGCAAACGTCAAGCACGACGTGTCTACTTCGAGTTGAATATGCACGCCTACGATTTCTTTACAAGGTGAGAATGTCGCCAATGCGTGGTGCATCCCGACTTCGACCCGGGAGTGCTTTTGCTAAAGGAAAATCGGTAGCAAACTTCCAACTTACAGTTTATCGGCTGAATTATTACTAAGGAAAGAGATCCCATAGTTTCGGTATGCTCCAGTAGCTTAGTGGGAAAGTCGTCTGCTTTACACGCCGTAGGGTCGGGTTCAATCCCCCGTCAAACTTTTTTTTTTTTTTCATATGTTTTTTGATGTCTACATTTCTTTTCTTTTTTTACAATTATCACTGAAGAAACAACAAAAAAAAAAAAATAAGAAACAAATGTTGTGGACGACACGTCGCTGAAATAAATGGTATGGGATTTCCTTTTTGACACCTGCGAACTCAATGCAATCACTTTCCACAAAATGCAGGTAGCGTCCGCTTTCCGAGGTGCCCGTAAATGGTCTACAGGAATTGCAGCTAGCCATTGGTCCCGATTCCGTTGATCTTTCGGAAACTCTGTCGCACAATGCCACTTCTGTTTCGGACGCAGGACATGTGAGCCAGCTCTTCACGCAACATCTTGGGTGTATTCTTTTCGGAGCCGATCAAAATTGACCACGGGCACTAACTACTCATCTCCAACTCCTCAATATACAAAACAACTCATCTTGGAGTACAGAACAACGAGCGGAACATACATAACTGCAAAAGAATCCCACGGCGAACAGTTCCCGTACGCCGCATGTCGTCTGCTACCAAAAGAGGAAAAAAAAAAAAAAAAAAACACGGTCGGGTGTAGCCACGTGACTTCCGCCACTTGCTCTCTTCTCTCCACTTCTCCGACCTCCGTCGGGTTTCGGTTTCGAGCAGTTGCGTCTTTTGGCTTTATTAAAAAAATGCGCTACTCTGTTGCAAAATATTAATTGGGTAGTCCTCCGACATCATAATAAAGCGCCTGGCAAAAAATTAAAAAAAAATTTTGGGGGGTGTCAGTGTTTCTTTAAACTTAACAATCGATAGTTAAACCACATCCTAATGCGTTTAAGTCCGAAGAGAACCTCCAAAACGGATAAATGCGGCTCAAGCGGTTAATCTCAGGCAGGCATAGACTGTCACATCCCTACCACCCCTTATCCAAGGAAAAATCCCCCAAAGTGTTTAACTTCGACCTCTAGCACAAAGGAATGCCACGGGATTTGGGGGCGTCGGTGGTCACATGTATCCTATTTCTGGTTTGAAGACGAGCCACCCCTTCCCAACCCAAGACTTTCAAACACTTTTTATTTTTATTTTTTTTTATTTTTTTGTGTGAGAGGAAATAATCTCTCCACCAACAACTTTTTTTTTTTTTTTGCGCACGAGCGTAAATAATCTCTTTTTGCAAACCGATTTTTTTTTTTTTTTTGATGATTGTTAAGTTTTGGTGCCGTCTCCTTTCTGTGTAAACTATCTGTTTTGTCAACGCTGTTTCTATTTCCTACTGCACTTTACTCCCTCTAATTTCTTCTTAGGGGTATATAAACATTCGCGGGCTGTACACTCGCTACCTGATGAAGAGCGGTCCCCGCTCGAAACGTCGTGATAAACTTCGAATTAGTAACTCCGACAGTACGCATCTTTCACTTATATATATATATATATATATATATATATATATATATATATATATATATATATATATATATATATATATATATATATATATATTGTAAAGTAGTAGCAAGTTTGCACTTTGGCTTTTTCGTTTTTCTTTTTTTTTTTTTAAATCTTAATGATCAATGCGTTAGCATTTTCTTCTCAATGCTTTAGAAAGTGTGCTGCACCGTTGCCCGGACCCGGCCAAGACCCGAAAATCAGCCCTGGCCCGAATCGTGGGCTGGGTCGGGCTCGGGTTTTCGAGTAGGCCCGGCCCTGTGCAGAGCTCTACTGCACATCACTAGGGCACTCTTAGAAAACAATGAATTTCAGTATTTATCAATTGGTCTCGATAAACAGGTGTCAGTTTTGCTCCTATTCATTGCTCTTTTTTTTTTAATAATTTCAAGTGGGGTAAATACATTGAGAGTTACTATATTTCAGAAAGTGAGATAGTGCAATGGAAGATAGAAAAAGATGTATTGAGTAGTAATGCCTCAAAATATGAAAGGATAACTTTTATTCTGTTACAAATACTGCACGATTTTCTAAACATGTGTCTGAAATAACCCTTAATCGAAACACCATACAGCACTATGGAGTTGAACAACCTAAAAACTTCTCAACTGGATACAGTCAAAGCGAAAGCTGAATTTATAAAAAAATGAAGTTCCTATCAAAAGAAACAACATTTATATAAGCCTGACTAAAATATCGCTCCTGACTGTTTGCATACTAAATTAGCTGTGAAGTCGAAAATCTGATTGCTCTGCAATCCAAACTAAAACGAAAATAAAAGTAATACAAAAATGCAAACAGATTTAAGCAGGCCTAGGGGCTGTTCACTAGTCACGATCCAAATTGATAGCAAATGAAACAATAAAAGTACTGACACAGAAGTATTTCTTGCAGGCTCTCAACTAGTTGAAAAAATAATTGGAAATCTCACAAAAGTATCACGGTTAATGGAAGCTAAAACACCAACTCCCAAAGCAACATTTTTTAAAACAATACACTGTAACATTACATGCAAGGAAAGTATAACAGTCACAATGCTTTTCCTATATCAGGCTCTCAGAAAAGTTAAAAGCTCTTTTTGCAAAGCTAAACACACCAGTACATGCTTAATCCCAATTAGGGTATGGCAAATATGAAGAGAGATTAGGGCTCTACCTCTAAGAACACGTGGAGTGTATTGCTTTGTATAAACCCACCCGTTTCAAGCTTCTCGGCTGTTGTCAGGTCTGCTCCACATGCAACATTTGGTTTTTCTTTGGGCCTCAGAAAGCATTCCTGGTATTCATCTCCACAGTTACCAGGATTTACCATGTGCGAAATCACATTTGACTGGTCTTTGGGGTGAATGACACCAATCACGTAAAGCTTGCGAAAGGGCCACTCCAGCTGCAGGTCCAGTTTCCCAGAGTGTATTTCCATGTAGCACCCAAGGGACATCCCATTATTTTTTGGTTCGAGTAACACACATTGGGAGACATTGTAATCGTATATGATCCTTGTGGGACTAATCAATTGTTGTAACTTCCCCTCAAGCGCTCTCTTCTTCAGGTCTGCCCACCCCTCAATGTACCAGTGGACCCTCACAGGCTTACAACAGCCAAGCAAACGCAGCTCCTTGCTCACATGGTCTTTGTAGTCAGTCATTGCTGCCTGGAGAAACTGCAGTTCTTTGGCAAAACCGGTGGTGCAGACCATGTTAAGGCTGTAGAGCTGTTCAGCAAGCTTGGAAGCCTCAGCCTCCAATTGGCCCTTGCATCTTGCACCCTCCGCCCTGACATGTTCGCTGCACCGGTTCAAGCTGGTCTGCAGCGACATGAGGTCCTCGGAGATCTTTCCCGTGGCTCTCTTCATCTCGAGACAAGCACTGCCGACGTCCTTGAGGTCTTCTGTGGCAAGGTAGTCTGGAGGCTCACACTTTACTTCGTTAGTGGTGCATCCACTCTTGAAGTGCTCCATAATGTCGCACTGCAACACTGAAGAGCGGCACAGGCAGCAACGCACGACGCTGAAGCCGCACTCCTTGTAGTGGGCCAAGAGGCTGGCTGCAGTGCCAATAAAGCTGCAGCCTTTAGGAGCGTTCCAGCAGGCGACCTGGGAAGGACGGAAACATACACAAACTATGTCGAAAAAGTATGTGCCATGATTCGGTCCCACTATGTATATGCCAAAAATGTGGCAGCTTTGTTCGGTTCCAAAATTGAAGACGAAAAACAGTAGAATGTTGTGCAAATGCTGTTGACGTCAGATGTGTAGGTGACAAACACGCCTACTTCTGATGTTGCCATTGTTGTTGTGTACTGTTGCTCTCCACTCACTTATGAAGCGGGCACAGTTTGTTACGTGGAGTAGGTAGCTCCGGTCATATTGAGACCCGGGAAATGAAGATGGGGCATTTCAACTGACAGCAGTCGCAAAGAGGTTACGGCAACTCACCGTACGGTTCAGGAGATACTTGAGAGAGACGTTTAGCTGTTCAACATCATCTTCGCAGAATGGTTTCTGGTCGACAGGACAAGCGCTTCCTCGTTCGACGCACTGGGCATGGCACTTTTTGCACAGTGTGTGTACGCAGGGAAGCCTGACTGCTTTCTTGTACACGACGCCGCACAAGACACAGGCTCTCTGTGCAATGATGGGCTCTTGGAAAAGCATGGGCCTCAAGTCGAGGACGTCGGAGCACCCGGCAACCCTGAAGGATGCCATTTCCAGTTGGGAACCGTCGCCCGTTCCGTCGATGGCAGGCATGGAATGCTGTGAAATTAAAAACATCAGATCAGATGACCATAGAATATTGTTAAATAAATTTAGCTGAGTGCATTGCAAAATTATGATCTAGATGATATCCATTGTGCAGGCCTCTTGTTTACGAGGCCAATGTGGAACCTAAAAGCTGATATCACTCGTTTTTGTAGAAATGTGACCTTGCTTGTGGTATTTTTTGTTTGATTCTTGCCATGCATAGCACCTTTTTGTTTAAGAGCTTTTGGGGACAACTAAATTGAAAATCTTCTTAAAGGGGCACTGATGGAGTGTTTATGCTTGCCAAGGTTTTTATTCACTCATGACAGATGAGGGCCTAACTACCCAAAACACAATTTGCGGCTCAAAATTTGTTTTTATTCCGCCCGAAAACTGGCCGGTTTGAGTTGCGCTCACTCTCCTCTCCGTGGTCACGTGCAATTCTCTATGGTTTCGACTTGACCACCAAATATAATTAAAGTCGTGGGTCATCGAAGGAACACTCAATATTAAAAATAAAAAAAAAATATATGATACCCATTTTTTGTGGCTTCCAAAAAGCTGCAACTATGTTGATCAAAAAAAAAAAAAAAAAAAGTTGCACAGCCCCGTGACTTCCAGCAACCCCGCTCTATATTTCTTCTTTCTCCCCAGCCCAGTTTCAGTTTCGAGTAGTCGCATTTCTTTACTTTATTAAAAGTAGGTACATGTGACGCTGTAGCAAAATATTGATTTTCTAGTCTTCCGACACCATAACAAATTGCCTGGCAAAAGAAGTAAAAAAAAAAAAAAGACATTTTGAGGGAGTGTCAGTGTCCCTTTAACAAAGAGTAGCGCTAGAGCAGCAGCCATGGATGTTGACAACTGTACCCTTTATAACGGACAGTAGCTTCAAATGAAATCAAGTTAATTTGTTGTCACATTTTACATGACAACAGGAATTTGGATAAAAAGCTGCTAAAAAGCAGCTTTGAGCCGCCTAGCTTAGAAACAAAACAAAAAAATTCTTCTTCTCTTAAGTTGACAGATTTCTGTAACTACCACCAGGCCGTGATCGCCAAACTGACTTTTGGGGATCCAGTAAAAAAAAAAAAAACTAAAAATATCGCCCCTGCCTCCTCCCTCAGTCAAGGGAGTCACCATTGTCTGCACCACATTTCTCATTCAATGACTGATAGCAGTTTGAACAGGGGTCCATTTCGCAGGTCCCTATCATTTCGTGGAAGCACGTTTCATGGACAACTTTTTGTGGACATCTTTCCTGGACACACAGTGGAAGGTGTGTGTCCTGTGTCCCTTGGACACAGGACCCTGCAACATTTTGTGGACGACACATCTTTTTTTTTTTTTTTTTTAACCAAGCGGCTAAAAGCTATTGTTTGATTCACTGGTGGATGTTCGCCCAAGCCTTGCCTGCCCCAGCCACTGCCCTTCCTCCCCCATAAACTAGACGAGACGTAAACTTTCTGCCGAAAACCCAGGGCTGTGTTTGACAAAAGGTCGCAAGGCCTGTTGATGAAACAAATGCGGGGCATCTTTTGATGAAACGATCTGTCGACTAAAACTCATTCCATGAACTGATCGCCACAGTAGTATCGCTTCTTCGAAACACGTTTTGTGGAAATATGTATCCTAAATAACTTTTTAGTGATGCACGTTTTGTGGACACTGCTACATTTTGTGTACATATGCTCCCAAAACGTTTCATCAACATTTTTTTTTTTCTTTTTTCTTTACAGGATTGGATTGAATTGCTGGCTTCATTTTGTTCGCTGGAAGCACACCGAAACTAAAGCAGACTCACCCAGGCGAATCCGCAAAGGCCCGTTCACACACTTGCAACCGAGTAGGACGAAGAGAGACAAGACCGGCTTTTAAGCCTCTTGCGACGGCGGAGGATCTGCTCCGCAGCAGCGCATCCGGTCCTCCGCCGTCGCAGGAGGCTCAAAAACCAGTCTTGTCTCTCCCGGTCTCACTCAGCTGCAAGTGTGTGAACGGCGTTTAAGTTTCACTGCAATCTGCCATTTGTACTGTTCGCATCTGCCAGCAGCAGTGGAGTCCGCCGAAACTCCTTGGGAGGCCCTTAGCAGGCAACACAGGGAAAGATAAAACAAAGCTTGGGACAGTATGACTTTCTGAAAACTGTATACACGGAAACGAGGTGGTTAGGAAACATCATAATTTAACATCTTGAGATCAGGAAGTTGGTAGAGTCTCGAGGGAGATTATCTTTGAGGGTGCTTGGTGGCAGATGCTTGTTGTCGGAACCGTGTTTTAGCCTGTCAATCCACGTCTGGTCAAATCTTCGCTACGTCGTGTCCTGTTTTCTTTATCTTTTCTTGTTTTGGTGTGGTCAAATAAACTCAGCCGTTCTTGAGATTTTGCGCTGTGTTGTCCATTCTTTAGTTCTTCCTAGTCCCATGGTTTTAAGTAAAGACGACTTTCTATGCTCAGCAATAGAGCAGCAAAATTGTACACACTTTGTCAGTTCTAGAAAATATCTCTCTGAAGCCAACGTCGTGAGACAAAGCTCCTATAACGGAAACAAGCTAGCTCAATTTGAGTGAAGGTTTGTTGTCGCTTTTCTCAATTGGAGGTCATATGCTACTCAATATTTTGTAATCACAAGTTAGCTCAAGTCACTGCAGGGAATCAAGAAAAGTTTAAAAAGAATAAAAGATAACACTTTCTTTAATATTGACGTGCAATTTTGCTACTTTTAGAGAAATGACTTAAGTTTCTGAATTAATAACAAAACTACAGTGATGACTTTTTTTATATATTCATCAGCTGCATTTCAAGACGCAAATATTGATATATCGTACGACATTTTGCATTAAGTTGTTTGTTGGTAAATAATTTCTGAAAGTGTCTCTAAAACGTGTTTCTTTTTACGTTTCCCCCATAATTTTTTTTTCTTCCTAAAATTATAATAGTTTTATTATTTGGTGTTCAGGTTGTAAATAGTCTTTAAATAAATGAATTGTTTTTTAACTACGTGCCTGCTTTGGTAGACATTGGCGGCTGCGCATATTACCACAGTGAAATCTTGGCAATGTCCACGCCTCTAGCATCTCAATTTTATATCTCTGGAAAAAACTTAGTCACACCATTCACATAGAGCCGAATGTTTCTTCCAAGAGCCTGGCTTTCCCATATACAAACACGAAAACAGCGCACGTTTGACGATGTTAAACCAACTAGCCCAACTTACCGCCTTGTTGTTTCCCATATACTTATTACAGAAATATCAAAGATATGACCCGGACGGTCATTGTATGATCCGACGTGGAAACACCCTACTATATTTGATGACAGGTTAAGAGTAAAGTGGAAGCTCCTCCCACCTCTTTCCACTTTAAAAGAATGAATGCTGGAGAGGAGGGCACCTCCTCTCCAGTGTTTGTTTCGCTGAAGTGGAAAGAGGTAGCAGGAGCTTACCTTGAACTCTTAACCTGTCACTGACTATACACCTTTCCAAAGAAACGCTCCTAGGCCGCTGCCATGTTGCTGATGCCAATGCGGCTAGTGCGACTCTCGCGCCCCCTATCAGCTAGAAATTTTCTGCCACTCTTTTGGCCTGTGGAAACATGCACAGCGCGATTCTCTGTCTATGTTTTGCGGTTTGGTATTCGACGTTTTCGGGCCCCTCTTGAAAGTTTCCACTTAATTTTTCTGATGCATGCTGCATACCCTTTCTGTGTATTCTTCCACTGTGACAAAGAGGGCTGGTAAGTACCTGCCATTCAAGCGTTTCTGCTCGACAATCACGGGAAACGAAGGAGGGGAAGGACGTCGAACGACCATCGAAGCGATTTTGCAAACAATGACAACTGTTTTCCCCCTTCCCAGAGAAAATCCACGTAAAGTCCTTCTTAGTCATGGCCAAAAATGGTTGGTCGTGTTGGAGTCAGTCGCACCCGTTCCTTTGCCGTGGTGCTGGTATGAAAAAAGTAAGCTCTCCCCAAAATGTGCCCCAAAACAAAGTTGTCTTGGATTCCGTTCGATCGCCAAGATGCGACTCGTTGACTGTGCTACTTGAGATCTTTCTCAAATAAATTATTTTTAGATAATGCTGTATTGTTTGGTACGTATGATATATTGTTTGAATGTTAACACTTGCTAAATTGTATGTCTGTGTCCTGCCCATCGATAAACACGTTATTTGTAAGCGTGAAAAACGTGTGCTTTTCGGCTATCTTCTGTTGTAAATTATTTTCGACAGCTAGGCGTTTTGTCGTTTGACATGTAGCTAATCAAGCGGCGCCGTCAAAACTTGTATCTTTTTTTTTTTAGGGTACAGGCGTAGGCGTTTATTTATCCAATCACTGGATGCCGGCAACCTAGGCGATGTGCGTGGAAAACCGCTTTCGACGAAACGTCGCAGTGTGTTGATGAAACCAACTATCGACGAACGGGCGCAATGTCGACGAGACAGTCTGTAGATGAAATGTCGTTTGACGAACTGAGTGCCAACGCTGGTGCGTGTCGAAATTGGAAGAGGCGGGGATCAAACCGCTGATCTCTTCGTCACGTGGCGCGATCAGAACTTGGTGTGATATGAACACAAACCAAAGTCGCTGTTAACACACAATCGTAATCAGAATACAAATTGGGCCAGTCAAAGTACACCTATGAATAGTGATCTGCCTACTGACAGAACTAACCCTTAACCCATCGTCGGTTGGCATCGTTTCGCTGGTGGAAAGTGAAACCTACCAAAAATTCCTCGCGGTGAAGATCATGTAGAATGAAATGCTGAAAGTTCCGACGAACAAGTGGGAGAAAGACTGTGGTCTTACCGATCTACGATTCTCGCTTTTTGTGCAGTGAAGGGCCTTACACAAACATTGATATTCACCGCGTGCGCTGGACGCAACTACGACAACAAAGACATCTGTCAACTCTTTCAAAAACATAGTAAAACGCGCTTCGGATTATGGGTTGGCTTGAGAGAAGCCTGATCTCAACCAAATATTTTTTCGCATCTATTAGCGAAAGGAATATATTATACTAGGTTTCGTACATAGCGTGCAACGCTGTCAAAGGTACTGAAGTGGTGCACATGAAGAAACAGAAAAAAATGTCTTCCTTTGCGCGTTTCGTGGTCAAGTGGTACAAGGCGCTGCTCTGGTGATACCGACGTCTCGGTGGCGGTGGTTTAAACCCACTTGACGCGTAAAGTTTTTTTAGATATATGTTTCGTGCAAGATTGTGCGCATTGCCGCAGTGCATATTTCATTTCTTCCTCTCTTCTTGCTTTTTATTTATAAGTCGCCGAGAGGCCACATTCCTACCATCCGCTCTGCCACTTTGCAAGTGTTATTTGCATCCAGCACCGAGTTATATTTATCTTTCGTGCGGCGTGAAATGAGGAATCGCACTGATAGCAGCCTTGTCCCAAAACTTATAAGACGTTAATCGACAATAGTTGTGGCCTGTACAGTTTATTTTGAAATAGCTGTCAAGGAAAGGAATTTTCCTCTCGGGGTACTTGCGATGCACCTTTAGGCGAAAGGCGTTGTGTGTGAACTCGTCATACTTGACGTATCCAAGAGAATGGGGGCGCTGCCGAGCATAACGAGCTAAAACTCGTAATCGCAAGTAATAAGGTTGTGCTCCTCAAAACGAATAGCAATAAATTGTTCCTACTGCTGTTAACAAAACTGTATTTTTTCTGAACCTTTTTGAGACAAACGGCGCCGAAGTTAACACGCGTCACCCGACACCTGGGGTGGGGTGATGTGATTCGGGTGGCACGGTTCGGATCGATTCTCGAATCGATCCGAACCGCGTGTCCACCTGCCGTAACCGCTGTGGTCGTGGTTGTGGCGGCCGGGGACCCCCTGGACCATTCTGGGTGTCTTGTTCTCGCGGAAGACACCGCAAGGCGAGTTCGAGATCCCGCGCCCCAGCTTTTGCTTTGCATCTTTCTTTTTAACTGCGTTTTTTTAGCTGCGTTAGATGATAGGCGAAAAAGTAGTACTTCGTCTTCTAACGGTTTCGCCTTCCCCTCCCTTTCGGCCAATGTACACTCTCCGGCAATAAGAAAGACCCACTGGGAGCGCAAGGCCGAGGCAGTGGCTGGCGGGGGCGCTGCAAGCGCTCCGGGCAATTCCATTCTGCTTCGAGGAAAGGACGCTCACTCGGGCTCAGCTAAAGTGAAATGCGCTTATCAGATTCTGCTGAGCCCCGAGTGAGCGTCGTCCCCTCGAAGCAGAATGGAATTGCCCGGAGCGCTCGCAGCGCCCCCGCCAGCCACCGCCTCGGCCACGCTAAAGTGAACTAGCCACGCGATCCCAGTGGGTCTTTCATATTGCCGGAGACTGTACCTACTCCTATTTTTGTGACGTGTCCGACCCTTGCCTGTTTCGTGCCGTCTTTCGCGTCTATTACTTGAAGAAGGACGTCCGCCTGAAACGTCATGTATACCTCCTTGTCCGCGTATTTTTTTGAGAAGCACAACCTTATTACTTGCGATTACACGCTTGACGGTCCCGGATGGATGGATGGATGTTACTGGCTATACCCTTCGTATCGGGTGGTAGCTTGCGCCACCTAGCCTAAGTCTAAGAAAGACAAACATTTGATTTGATTTCTCGCGCCCTTCTAAGCCAATTTTCTACCCCCTAACTATCACCAGGTATGATGAACAGAACAGCGCACACAAAGACAAGGACAGAGAAAAGGAACATGCAGGACACACAAGCGCTGACTCGCAACTGAATTTATACACAATAGAAAGAAGAAGAAACCGTTTTGAAAGACACGCAGGGCACGCAGTGCTTATGACACGCGGGGGATCGGTGGCCGAGTGGTCTAGCGCACACCAGCTCGGAGCACGTGGAGCGAAAGCTCGCGCTGCAGAACCCAGGGATCCTGGGTTCGAGCCCCACCCCTGCCCGTTTCGATCTGGATGAGCATCGTACCGGCGTGCGGTCGTGTATCACTACTGCGTGATGCACGTTAAAGACCCCAGGCTAGCGGCTGTACCGCACTGGCTAAATTTCTCATCTACAGCTGGGAGACTCGTCGCCCCTGTGAGGCAGACCAAGTTCTAGGCTGTATAAACACACACACAACCCAATTATTATATTATGACACGCGACACAACACCATCTAACTGCAACTAACTGCATCTAACTGAAAGACACGCAGGGCACGCAGTGCCCTGCGTGTCTTTGAGAACGGTTTCTTCTTCTTTCTATTGTGTATAAATTCAGTTGCGAGTCAGCGCTTGTGTGTCCTGCATGTTCCTTTTCTCTGTCCTTGTCTTTATGTGCGCTGTTCTGTTCATCATGTCATCATACCAACTCGCCCAACTTACTACACTTCTGCTATCACCAGGTAGTGTGGGATATCACCAGGATGACCTTCGGGGGATCGGGCAAAAAAACTAAAAACATCACCCCCCGCCTCTTCCCCCCGGCGAGGGTGTCGCCAATTTTCCTCTAGTCAGACCTTGTCGGCGTTACCCCCGCACCGGACCCACTGGGAGACAGGGTGCTCGAAACTTGTATGTTGCCAGGTCCTCGCTTCGGGGACGCCACCTTGCCTGATAGACACTGCGGCTTGTACTTCGCGACAGTACGGGCGCACACTCCGGTGTTTAAGGGGTATTCACACGAGGGAGAAATCCCGGGGATTTCTCCACGGCACGCGCGCGACGAAAACGTCAGGCTTTGCGACGTGCAAAAGCCTAGCGTTTTCGTCTCGTGATGCGCGCGTGCCGGGGAGAAATCCCCGGGATTTCTCCCTCGTGTGAATACCACTTTACTGACCGGCTCCAGGACTTCACGACCGACTTCTCCGGGAAACACGTTCTTGTACTCGCGTACACGTGGGCGATTACCTGCTTGCGCTTTTTCGAGGTCTTCACACAAAGAATCTTCGAAAATGTCCGAGCAGGAGAGGTACTTGAGCTTGCCGCGTAAGACGCCATCTCAAAACCAGCCAGTGCCACAACCCGAAAACCCGCAGCGGCTGTCGCACGGACGAAAACGAAAACAATTTAAAGTATTTTACATTATCTTTCCATTTTTATTGAAAAAAAATATGTGATCCGTCGAAATAATAACGCCACTATCAGTTACTAGCTTTATTGGTCTTTATTGAATTTTTTTTCTTTTTGTTTACAGGGGACGCACAGAATAAAATGCAATCCAGTTCGATCCAATCCAATCGGAGCGGAACGCTTTTTTACGCAATGGCGCGGGCTTTGTGAAGCATTCTGCTCGGAGTATTTTTCCAATAAGGACAGGCTTCGCCATAACAACGTCGCAGGTTTGTATACAGTCATATCATACTTTGCTGCAAGCTCAACGCGCGCGGATGTGCAACCGAACTCGGCGTGCGTGTCTACACACGCACACGCGCGCGTCTACACACGCACGCGCGCGCGCAAACATTTTGAATTTGTTACAGCACGCAACACAATTATTCTTAGGAACCTAAAGCTTTGAGGAGCCATTGATGTGGATGGGAAAGTGTAGAAGGGGGCTATCAGTCGTTCGCAGCAGCCGTCTGCCGTCAGAAAATTATCCACAAACCACACGAAATGCGTAACTGTAATAAACTAACACCAAACGCTAGCCCCTCCAACTACTATATTGCAAGCACTCATGTAAACGCCGCTTTAAAATGAGGCTGTGATTTCAGTCAGGAAGAAGACTTCCTGATGCACTGGAAACCCACACCCACAGTACTTTGGAGAGTACCTGCTTTCTGGCATTAGCAGTACGGAGCATTTCGAGCAGCCACTGTTTTCATATCAACGCTAACATAACTTGATGTGCAAAAGCTACTGGGAGGCTGGTCTTCCGGCGAGCGCCAAGCAACTCTTTGATCTGTATGTGCTATTTGTTATAGTTCTTTGAGTTTGTGTTATTGCTTAGTGGTTTTGACATCTTCCTTACATGATCACGCACATGTCCTCCACAGGTCTTCTGAAGAAACCTGCACAATTCACATATTTCTTTGCATGCCACGGAGGAATTGGCAGGCAGCGACCTTGCCCCTCTGGAGATGAAGTCTTTCAGAGTAGCCGGGTTCTCCGACGCCCTGGACTGGAGGCCCACGCTGTTCCAAGAGCCCATCATCGCGCAGAAAACATGCGCCGTCTGCGGGGTTTTATACAGGAAATCGGTCAGGCTGCCCTGCATCCACACACTTTGCACGAAGTGCCATGCTCAGTGTGTCGACGAAGGGAGTGTGTGTCCCGTCGACAAGAAACCCTTCTGCGAAGATGATGTTGAGAAGCTGGAGGTCCCTCTCAAATACGTCCTGAACCGTACTGTGAGTACATAACCTCCCCCTCACGGTTACTAGTTAAAGGGCAACTCCAGCCAAAACTCCAAAGGAAATAAATTACTGGTGTTGCTTTAGTGACACAAAGTACGACCCCAGCCAAAATATTACGTCAAGGGGACGCTGCATTGCCAACTAATACCTACAGGGTGATTCAAGGAGAAACCAGGCTCTTTAAATCGACCGCAAAATTTGGTTTCTTAACCTATCGCGCTACTGCTTTGTGCAGCGTTGTCCACAGATGGTGCATTTTTTTTTTTTTTGTAAAATTTGCAAAGAGCAAACTTACCCGAGTAAAAAGTAAAGAAAGAAAAAGGCTTAGCTCCTATGGAAACACAGCGAAGCAACCAGTCTTCAAACAACACGGTGCCGTTTCGCACGGGAGATAGGAGATGGCGCAAGAGAGAGAGAGAAAATCACTTTAATTAGAGCACAGATTAAGTACCCAAGATATCCTCCGCCTGAAGTACCAGGGCGAGCTGATCTTCCAGTTGCGGCGACGCCAACCATGCACTCCAGGAGGGTGGTGGGGGGTTAGGAAGAAATGAGGTGGTGTAGGCGACCGGGCAATGAAGGAGACAATGTTCTTGATTGGCATAGGGAGCTGGGCAGTTGGGACAGGAAGGGTCTGATCGATAGCGGAAGAGGTAAAGGCGAGCAGGTGTGACGAGGGTGTTTGTCTGGATTTTACGGAGAATGTGGGTCTGCGCGACACTAAGCTGTGGATGTGGTCGAGGTAGAAGTTCATGAGATATACGGATCTGTTTGTAATGTAACTTGAGTGTTTTTTTGTACTCTGCTGCCTCGTCATTGGTCGGGGGGCTTAGCCAGGGGATTGCAGGTGCCCGGCTGTGAAATTCGCGGGCGAGCTGATGTACCAGCTCATTACCTGCTATCCCTGCATGACCAGGGACCCATCGAATCGTGACCGAGGATGAGGAGAGAGAGTGTAGGGCCATTTCAAGGTCCTCTCGAAGATCGGCAGGGATTTGTCTCTGTTGCAAGGAGCGTATAGCAGCCATAGAATCAGAGTAGACAGTGTAAGCGGACGTGCGCGGCAATTGGGAGAATGATATGATGGCATGGATAATGGGGACAAGTTCTAACGTGGTGATTGACGGGGGGTCGCTGTATGGACCGCACGTGTGAAGAATAGGTAAGGAATGTTTAGGTATGTAGATTGCGTACGCAGCCGTGCCGGTGTCCAAGATGGAAGCGTCGGTATAGGCTACCGTCTGTGTCTGAAATGGGGGATTATGATGCAAGGCCTGAGCATCTCTGCGACCGTCGTCCAGGCCCGGAGCCATGCGGCGGGGCAGAAGAGCGAAACGCAGATTAGAGGGCAATGGCGAAGTGGGTAAGTGCTAGTAAAAATCAATTGGTGAGAGTCCAGCTTGTTCTAGGATCCAGCGCCCTTGATGTGACCCCGAGAGGCGGGCTAGCTGTCGGTCACGATGGAGGTGTAGGAGTGAGGAGAGGGGAAGGAATAGGCCAGTCTCGTAGAGTCTTTGCGTTGAGGTATGGATTGGAAGGTTAAGGGAGGCCTTGTACAGAGTGCTTAATGCAGAGCTGAGTTTATTAAGTTGCTGTCGTGTGAGCGTGAAATATGGAACCGAATAAAGAATTTTACTAAGAGCCAATGCATGAACCAATTGACTCGCTTGTTTTTCATTGAAGCCTGCACGTCTTTGCACGACTCTGCGGACAAGATGTGTTACCGAGTGGCACGTGTTTATCGCCGGGGTGATGTTAGCCTGATTTGATCGATCGTGGAGATGGATGCCGAGGACCTTGCATAAGGATACTCGCGGGATGGTCTGATGGTCTAAATAGAGAGAAATGAGATGGTTTACAGAGCGCTGATACTGGGTTTGAGACAGCAGGAGTAATTCCGATTTTTCTGGGGCCGGTTTCAGCCCTGCTTGGGTTAGGAACGCAGTTATGGTGTCTAGACCTTTCTGAAGAGTAGATTCAACTTCCCCTGGTGATCCGTGAGTGCACCAGAGGGTGAGGTCATCAGCATAAAATATGTGGGAAAGGTGGGGTATCTGCTGCAGGCAGCGAGCTAGCTGGGCCATACCCAGATTGAAAAGAGTAGGGGAGAGGACAGCCCCTTGAGGTGTACCTCGTGTGAGTGAGAGTGGTTGGGACAACTCGCCCCCTATACGAAAGCATGCAGTGCGGTCCTTAAGGAAGTTTTGGATGTAGGTATACAAATTTTGTCCGCATTCTGTTTCTCGAACTGAAGCGAGTATGTGATCATGACTTATGTTGTCAAATGCTTTGCGAACGTCTACTGTGACGAGCGCATGCACCTGACAGGAAGATGGGGAGAGGAATAGGTCTTGAGTGGAAACATGGGAACGAAAGCCGATTTGGGTGTGTGGCAGGAATGCAGTGGCTTCAAGATGTTCTTGAAAACGATCGAGGACCATCCGCTCCATCGTCTTGCCCACGCAAGAGGTTAAGGAAATGGGACGGAGGTTATTAAGTGATGGGGGTTTTCCAGGTTTGGGGATCATGATAATAGTAGAAGATTTCCATTCCTTTGGGTATGTACCCTCCGACCAATGTTCATTTATGTAGGTCAGGAGCTGTTTTTTATTCGCTTCTGGAAGGTTACGGAGGAGGCAGTACGTGATGGTATCTTCTCCTGGGGCTGATTTTCGTGAGTTTTTTGCTAGGGCCAAGTCTAAGTCTGCTAGTGTGAAAGGGCTGTCTAAAGTCGGGTTTTCAGGGCCCGAGTAGGAGGGGTAGTTTGAGGTCAATGCTGGAGGGATGTATAGGTTCTGTAAGGCTTGGATAAGGTCTGTGCTACCTTGTAAAGCTAAGTGTTTGTCTAGCGTGGGAGCGGGAGGTGGCTGAGGCCCTAGAAGTGAACGGAGGAGATGCCATGCGGTCTTTTGGTGGAGGGTACCGTTTATCTGATCACATACTCTGTTCCAGTTCGAGATGTCGAGAGTGCTGCAGTGTGTAGTAATGTCTGCATCTAGGTGTTGTAAACGTTCTCGGAGTTGTTGATTGTGGGGTTGCTGGCTAATGCATCTTAAGATACGCTTACGACGTCTCCAGAGGCGCACTAGATGCGGGTCTGGCCGTATCGCCGGGGCTGTGGTGTTTTCTATTTTTGTGGCTTGTGTTCGGGCTTGTTTGATGGCGCATATCCAGGTCTCGTAAGAGCCTGATTGCTGCCCGGGTGAAACAAGGATGCTGCGAAATTTATCCCAGTTTGTATTTTTGACTGATATTTTCCGTGAGCGGCTAGAGATGCTGAGTGATACTGAGAGAATGAAGTGGTCACTTAGAAGTCTCTCTTGAGTATGAACCCAGACACTCGAGTTTCTGCCGTGGTATAGTGTGAGATCTGGGGTGGTACAGTGTTGCTGGCGTGTGCCTTGTCGGGTTGGCATGTCGGGAGTATTTAAGACAGTGAACTGGCGCTGTGAAATGTACGATTGCAGAAGTCGCCCTGGGCGAAGTGTGGATAGGTAACCCCAGCTGACATTTGGGGCATTAAAATCACCGCCCAGGAGTACCTCGTAATTAGGTGTCAACTCTGCAGCAAAGTCGAAAAGTGATTTGAATAGGCGGTGCTCTGTGGGGGGATTATATAGGTTGAGGAAGCATATAGGTCTGTGTTTAGGGAAGGGATAGTAAGCACATGCCACTACATTTTGTCTGAGAGATGTAGGGATGATCAGTGGTTCATACTGATCGCAAGCGGTCGCGACGCCAACTGCCGCCAACGAAAGAGCATACGACGCCGAGAACCGACGTCTTTAGCAAAAAAGAAACTGCAGTTCCTTGTTGTTACCGCGCCTGTTTTTGTTTCTGCGACTGTCGCCGCCTGCGAAATGCACGCCGCTTTTGAATCAAAAAGATCGTCTGCTAAAGACCCCGACTCTCGGCACCGTATGCTCGTTCGTTGCGCCATCTCTTGTCTCCCGTGCGAATTGGCGCCGTGTTGTTAGAAGACCGGTGGCGTCGCTGCGTTTCCATAGAAGTTAAGCCTTTTTCTTTCTTTACTCTTTCCTCAGGTAAGTTTGCTCATTGCAAATTTTACAAAAAAAATGCACCATCTGTGGGCAACGCTGCACAAAGTCGTAGCGCGATAGGTTAAGCAACCGAATTTTGCGGTCGATTTAAAAAGCCTGGTCTCTCCTTGAATCACCCTGTAAAATAAAAACGTGACCCGCTGCTCCTTAGCGTGCCACCAGCGAGTTATCGATCGCTAAAGCAACGTTGGCCGTGACGTCATAATCATTCTCTTTTTTCTTTTTTTTCCGGACGGGCATACTTGTTGTGGGGTCAAGCAGTGTAAAGTGCGCTTCGAGCCGCTACCGCTTGTACTTCAGCTGGTGATTGGCGTATTTAGCCATTGCTTTTATCTGTAGCACTTGTAGCTTCGGTATAGCCTTTTGTTTATTGGCTTGTGAGGACTCCAAGGCTCGTTTTAGCAAGCAATGGACCTCTTGGCGAATATGTGCTGCCACCTAGACAAGCGACTGGGTTCGAGGCTAAATGGGAGGAAAACAACGCGTGCGCAAGGCCTCTCCCACCCGTTCCACACCCAAAACGTCAGCTACATCCTGTTCACCCATTGAGGCGCTGTGACCTAGATACGGCTCCCCTAAACTCGCTTTTGTTCCCATCATGCATAATCTTCCGCCCCGAAGTTGACACAACGAAACCATCTTCCCTCTCTGCTCGGACAGAAGGAAGAGAGAGAGGGTACTGGAACCATTTACTCTCAAACCAGTGTTTCTACAAAAGGTCCATTCGGTGCGCACTCGCGCGCATCGTGGTGTCAGAAGGGCTGACCTAGCTGCAGTCATGGGCACGTTACTGCTGAAATGTAACAGTGTTACAGTTAGAGTTACTCGGGCAAAAAAGTAACCCTGTTTCAGTTACATTATTTAAAGAGTAACTTGTTACGGTTAGTTACTTCGCAAAAGTAACCTCGTTACTTCGTCGTTACTTTACACAGAAACATAAGAAAACAATCAAAAAGAACATTCCTGTATATCCATTTTGTTCTTAGCCCGAGACTGAGGCAGAAAAAAGAGGAAAGTTTCAAAGTAGAAGAAAAATAAACAGTCGACTGTTCATTTTTCTTCTACTTTAAAGCTTTCCTCTTTTCCTGCCTCACTCTCGGGCCAGGAACAAAATGGTTAACATCCATCAGCTCGCCTGCGCACTCACTACTTTATCATTCCTGTATATGCCTTTAAATTAGCATTGATTTCTTATTAGACATTGTGTCGTTCATGGTAGTGAATCTGATTATTTTGAGAAACTAAGATTTTCTTAATAATCAATATTAACATGTTTTGCTCTTCCTACTTCAATTTTTACCATGAATAGCTTGTTGAACAAGATCATAATCTAAGGCAGTATCCGAGCCAATCCGCAATGTGATAAAAGATTTAGAGTCTCGTCTTTGGCGAATTATAGGCAACTTTAGTTTTTCAAATTTTTAACATAGCTGATACCTGGTCCATAAAAAACATAGAAAATGTGCGACGTCCATGAGGTATTCACGAACAAAACAACTGGCGTCCAGATCTCGTATATATACAACCATGGTGCCAGTCTACAATCGACCAATTCTAATTTTGAATTTCTTTGATGAGGCGAAATCGGACAGAAGCAATAGAAATCGTGCAAATGTGAAGTCAATAATAATATAAGTTATACCTTGCAATCAGCTTTGTAGATGTTTTCTTATGCCACTCCAATCCATTCGTCGGTCGAAACGTTTTCTACTGCGCACACAATCTTTCATGAAACTCTTGGAGAGCAATGTTGAAGCAACATTCCTCTGACAAAATAAGTGCTGATCGAGGTACAAACAACCATTGCTTGTAGAATTCCAAACAGCTGTTGCAATCTTTTCTCCACTACTTCCTAACCAGATCGAACACACTTGTGTTCCTCCACCTCATCACCCGAAATAAAAGAAACCACCCGGAAAGCCCACGACGTGAATATCAAAAAATCAAGTGATGCCAACTGCATCTGGTCCCGGCTAAGGGCGGTCTTTCAATTTCAAGAAAACGCGCAAACGAGCAGAACAACAGACGTTTCGAGCGAATACTTTTTCTCAAGTGACGGGACCTGAAGAGGGACAGGTGGGTGATGGGAGCCAAGTCTGGTAATTGGGTTGTAAGAAAAAAAAAAGAAAGGGAGAGAAAATGGGCCTGAAGTAGACACCCGGCAAGAGTGCATCTGGAATTTGGACAATTCAAATGAGAGGGGAAAAAACATATGCTTGGAGGGAAGAAGACGAGATTCGGGAAATTGGTTTGTGCCGTAATCCTGCGGGCGTTTAGGGCGACAATCGCCAAAAGCTGTCCTCTCCAAAAAGAACTCGCTTCCTCCACCGGACGAAGAAAAGAAAAACGCTTTGTAGATGCATTGCTTTGTTACATCTGCGTGCGCTGTGGGCGATGTACCATATACGGCTGGTGCGGACACTAATGTCCCCATCCTTCCAGTTGGCGGTACCAAGCCGCCGCGGTGGCTTCGAGCCGAGAGCGCTGGCCTACGGATCCCCATGTGGCGGGTTCGAATCCCGGCCGAGGTGCCCGCAATCCGACGGAGGCTTATTGCAGAGGAGGCGCCGTGTAACCGAGCTTTCGGTTGCATGTCAAAAGATTTCCAGGTGGTCCAAATTAATCCCCAGTCCTCTGCTGGGGCATGCCAGATGCCCGTCGTTGGTTTGGCACATAAAACCCCCAAATTTTGTTTGTTTAGTTAGCGGTACCAGCTTGGCTAAGCAGGGTCACCCAAAATTTAGTTTCTTCTTTTTTTTTTTTTCCCTCCTGCCCCAGACATTTTCTGCAGCAGTTTTTGCTGTGCCCTTTCCGTACCAGGACTTGGGACTCTCACAAGTTGCGAGTCGATTTGGTGGTCGTGTTCGCAATATGTTTGCACATAAATCTGAGTAGTAACTGTAACGACGTTACTTTTTACAGTTACTTCCAAAAATAGTAACTCTGTTACAGTTAAAAGTTCTTTTCACTAAGCGGTAACGAGCTGCAGTTACAAGTTACTGAAAAAAGTAACTAGTTACCGGTAACACGTTACTAGTAACTACTGGCCAAGAACAGTTAGCACAGCAGAGGTAGCTGCCGCTTGGACCGAGTATTTGTTGCGCGAGAACAAGGCAGGGACGAGAACGACCATGACGTCACGTCCGCCTGGCGGCTAATTGCCAGTGTTGCTGTCGCCTCAAGCGGCTAGTTTCGGTTTTGTCGACCGCGCCCCAGACAAAACTTTGAGGTGCCGATATCTTTAAAACTACGCACTATACACAGAAAGAAGTTACACCTTGTAATTGAGGGACGCTGACTGTGCTAAAAACAGTCGTCATCTCAAAATTGAAACTCTGGACCGGAGTTGCCCTACAACGATTTTTGACTGTTTTTTCTTTTAATTTGCACCGAACCTGAGCGCACTGAATGTAGTAACTTAATGAAACTTTTCTTTTCTCGGATTTCGCTTTATTTAAGAAGTTATTGGCAAATTAGAATTACAAAAACAAGCAAAAAATAACCTTTTTCATGGCGTCCTTGGTCGCTTGAGTGGCCGGGAACTAGAGGAGGCTAGCGAGCTCGGCGAGCGCTCACGGCTGCCGTACTCCGTGTCCACGGCTCGAGAGGGTGCCACTAAAACATGTTCTGGAGAGGCTGTATGAAGCGGGCAGCCGGGGCAGCTCGCATTGCATTTGCAGCGCAATTAAACACTAATTCGGCATGACACTTCATTGGCCACAAATGACAGCAAACACAAAGTAAAGATCAATCCAGAATGGGAGCCACTTTGCGCTGCCATACCTCCAAACGGCCAAACCGCAAGTCAAACCTGCTCGCTGAAGGCCTTCGGAATGGTCGGAACCGGTCGGATCCTCGAGCGCGTATGTGACTGCAGCGCCGCCGCGTACATCCGCGACCTTTCTACGCTCGCCGCTAGTCGGTGCCTGATCCCACTACCTCTTTCTAGTATGCGCCACCTTTTCCACCACTTGGTGGCGGGTATTTCAATGGGTCATTTCCTGTTTCCGTATTTTATAAACTGCATTTGTTTCTTTTCTGATATAAAATACTGAACAAAAACTACCTTCATAAATAATTGAAACCGTTCGCGCCACTTATATTTTCTATTTCGATTAAAAAGACGCTTTTAGCGGCTCTGACCAGTAGTAAGGCCAGGACCAAAGACTTCACATATTGCGTGCATTCGGCACCACGGGTCGCCCCCATAGGTGGAGGAGGTTTCCGCGTCGTCCGGTTAAAATACGACACACTGATATTTAGTTGCTCTCCCCGTGCCCGCTGGCTTGCCCGAACCCCAAGAGACGTGGAAACCGTAAAAAAGATACACTTAAATATGATTGCAAGGCCCCTTTAAGCTTTCCGCTTTTCTTTTCCGCCCGAGTGTACCGGCACAGAAGCGTTGCATGTATGAGTCAGTGCCCGATGAATTACTTTGTGGGTCATCCTTCAAGAGTAGAAAACAGATGTGAACTAGTGACACAAGAAGTAGTAGGCAAGCACCACGGAGTTTATTAAGTACGAGTGCACTAACTATATTTACACCGTTTTTCTGCTTCCTTGACTGTTATTGACAAACTTTCCTAAGTTCCTATATTACTAGCATACATTAGGGGAGGCACGGCCTAGGAATCGCGATTTTTTCAAAAAAGTCACATTTTTGGAAAATAGGCTGACCAGCTTTTACAACTCATAAAGAATGCTGTCCAAAAATTTTATTCCTGTAAGTAAAGTATTTACTCGGAAATAAATTATTTTCAATGTGCTTGCGGCCGCACGTGCGCGCTGACGACGCGGCCGATTACGAAAAAGTGCCATTTTCAAAGTGCGCTCCCTCCGCGTTTCTTAGGACTAGCATGGACAGGCCCCCCTTGTTAGAATGAGCGTCTCGCCCTCTTTCGTTCTGTTCGCAGCATTGTTCGCGATATCGCGCTCACAGACCGTAAAACCCCGTAGAAAACATATCTGTGCACGCTCTTATTGGTCAAGCTGGCGAAACAAGAGCTCTGATTCGCTAGGACGAGCCCCGTGACGTGGCTCGTCCTAGCGAATCAGGAAGCTCTGTTGGAAATTGGCACACAGCCAGGGAGCTACCAAGCGTCATACGGAGAGAGGGCCACCAACATGAAGGTTGCGAAGGCCCAAGTGAAAGCGCTCGAGTCCTCCAAGATGTCCCACAAAAAAAGGGAGATGGAAGCTGTAGCCAAGGCACACAGGGACCGTGCAGAGGAAGGAGTGACATATGCCCTTGGAGCATTTTAGATGAAATGGCAAGCCCCATATAAACTAAAACACTGTTCGAACTTTCAAACCCGTTTTTCTCAGCTTCATGTCTTCACAATTTTTTCACAGCTCTAAAACTATCGTTCGATGAGTTAAGCGTCCCCAAGTCTAATGTATGGCTTTTTTGGCATGAAATTTACTGGAGAACTCGGCTATGTGCTTACTTTTTGCGAATTGTTATTTCTTCACACAAAAATGTTGACGTTTGTGAAACAAGAAAAAAATACAAAATTCATACCATTATTGAAAGTTAATTTTTACATGAAATATGGCCTTAAAAATTATTTCAAGCCTACTACCGATTAGTGTAGTCATTCAGCGTTATATCCCAACAAAGAAATTGTGCCTTTTATTCATATTTTGAAACGATAGTTTTTTTCCTTTGGCACGGCTACGTGTACATTTTTTCCAACGAATAAGGCTGTAACTTGTCAAAAAATAAACCTTTTGGGTTGAAAGTTGGTGTAGCCTCCTAAGTTTTGACGTTTAACATACCCTAAAAATTTCATTGACCTGGCACAAATACTTAAAAAGTAGACTCTCCAAGGGAGTGCTTCCCCTTAATCAAAAAACAGTTCATCCAATTTCATTATCTTTTCTCTGATCCCAGGTTGCCTGCTGGAATGCACCTAAAGGCTGCAGCTTCATTGGTCCTGTAGCCCACATCCAGGACCACTACAAGGAGTGTGGCTTCAATGACGTGCCCTGCTGCCTGTGCCACTCAACAGTGCTGCAGACTGACATTTTGGAGCACTTCAGGAATGGTTGCAGCATTCCCCAAGCCACATGTCTGCCAACCGACAAATCTGACACCCAAGACTTAAGGGATGTCAGCAAAGTTTGTCTCGAGATGAACAGAGCCGTAGGGAAGATCTCTGAGGACATCATGTTGCTGCAGTCAAGCCTGAACCGGTGCAGTGAAGATGCCACAGCTGAGGGTACAAGATGCAAGGGCCAACTAAAGGTTGAAGCTTCTAGGCTCACTGAGCAGCTAAATAGCCTTAGTACAGTCTGTGCCACTGAATGCACCGAGGGACTGCAGGGTCTTAGGGAAGCAGTGGCCGACTACAAAAAGTATGTGCGTGACGAGCTCTGTGTGCAAAGGGACAAGCTGACTGACATCTTGGATCTGGTGCGCAAAAGTTTGCCAAGTCCTTCTAAGCATGAGAGAATCCATTGGTACATTGAACGCTGGACAGACCTGAAGAATGAAGCACTTAGAAGTGGCTCGAAGAGCTTGGATAGCCCCAAGAGGACCATGTATGGTTACAATGTATCCCAATCTGTCCAGCTGACATGTATGGGCAGGGAGGTTGGCCTCGGGTGCTTCATGCATTTACTCCCCGGGGAACATGACTCGCAGCTGGAGTGGCCCTTCAGCAAGGTGTTGACGGTCGGTGTCATTCACCCGAAGGGCCAGTCAAATGTGATTTCCTACAAAGTAAATTCTGGTTGGCATAAATATCGGAGAAACTTATTCCTGAGGCCAAAGGGAAGAAGGAGGGGAGGCTTTGGAGCAGGGTGCCTATCCACGGCGGAAGAGCTAGAATTTGACGGGTTTATCGAGAACGATACGCTCCATGTGTTCTTGGAAATTGAACCGTAGGCTTCGCCTTCCACCTCGCCAATCCAAAGCTTGATGCTATTGAACTCTTCCGTTGCAACTTTGGTGAGAAATGCAGAAAAACGAGTGGGAAAGCAATACTTCCCTTGCATGTAATGCTATCTTATGTGATTGTCAATAAACTGAGTTTATCATAGGAAATACTCCTCCACATTCTAATTTTTGTAATTGAGTTCTCGCGGGCATCAGAATATTTTATTCCTAGTTGCACGACTTCATCCTGCTTCGTGTTCTTTGTGTGGTGGGCAGTCGTAGGGCATATTCATGACTCCAGTGACCTATAGGGGACACCACTATCAGGAAAATATGGCGGTCGAATCCAGGTCGTGCAGTGCCATGTGTCAGCTCAACGCACAACGGTGGGGCAGCAGCAAGCATTGGACTCAACATTGGTTCCCCCGCGTTTTCCACGTTTCGAACCTGCAGCGATGTGTTGGGGTAAGCGAACTTCCAGAGGCTTGACTTTCTTCGAGCAAATGAGGAAAGGACTCCCCCTGTCCTTCCACGGTGCTGATGAACGTTGATAAACGAAGAATGTCTGACTCACGCGGTTCCATTGGTCACGTGTAGAGCAACCCGGGTCACATGGCGATACTACGGTTACGACGCAGTCACCGGTACAACTGTTCTATCGTGCAAACCACCGACAAGTTGTAAACACAGAAGCCAGAAGAGACAAGCAGAAATCGCGAAGGGACCTGTTCCGGCCAGTTCAGTGTTTTTCCCGCTAGGTGCCGTTCGTTTTGCTTGCGTCGCGAATTGCCCTCCAACTATCCAGTGGTATGAGGAAGTTGCAAATCTTTTCGTACAATTATGTCCTAAATTCGATAGATTGTACTAAACACTGCAAACAAATGGAGGCACGCATGAAATAAAGATTGTACAAGCTTGGTTGATGCTGACAAAGACTGGTAAGCACAGAATGTGCGATAAGCCTTCCAGGGAAGAAGAGAAGGACATCTGAATGGCACCTCCTACCGAAGGTTTGTTTTCATTTCTGACAAACGTTGCGAGATGGCGTTGCACGACAGGAAGGAAAGAAGAAGGTTGGCAGACAATATATTTTCTCTAACACAGTGTATAGAAATAGCGCAAAAAGAAAATAGACAGCTTTGGCTGGCATTTCTGGATATCAAGGGTGCCTATGAGAATGTGAACCAAAGGAACCTGTGGGACATAGTGGAGAGCTTAAACCTAGATGAAGGACTAGCAGCAACATTTACAAAGATAATAAGGTGATTCTAACATGGGAAGGAAAGGCGACTGGGAAAATAGAGATAAGACGAGGCCTTAGGCAGGGGTGCCCGTTATCGCCTTTCCTGTTTATGTTGTATATGCGAGGATTGGAGGATAGACTTGAGAAGAGTGGGCTTGGATTTGACCTTTCGTACAGTAAGCGAGGCCAAATATCCAGCAATCCTTACCGGGATTGATGTATGCGGATGATATCGTACTAATGGCTAACAACAGGACAGAGTTGCAGGAATTAATGAGCATCTGGTAGGGAAGCAGAGGAATTAGGTTTAGAATTCAGTAGTGAAAAATCAGCAGGCATGATTTTTAACGATGATGAAGTTGAGAAGCTGAGGATACAGAATATTACAGTTGAGAGAGCTAGTAAATAAAAGTATCTAGGAGTATGGACGTGTGGTGGTGCAGAATATTTCGGTGAGCATGAAAAGTATATAATAGGTAAGGGCAACAGAAATGCAGCTGTAATGAAAAATGGAGCACTTTGGAGTTAAAACAGGTATGAGGTGGTGAGAGATTTGGAAAGGGGTCATGGTGCCTGGCTTGACTTTTGGAAATGCAGTGCTATGCATGAAATCCGAAGTGCATGCCAAGACTAGAAATAAAACAGCATAGAGTAGGTAGGCTGGCTTTGGGGGCACATTGCAAAACGCCAAACCAGGGAGTACAAGGAGGGATCGGCGTCATTTGAGAGCAGGGAAGCGGTGAGCAAGATAGAATTAGAGGATCGGTTGAGGCAAATGCATGGGGAGCAATGGGCTTGAAAGGTTGTCAGCTATTTATACATATGGACACAAAGTGGAGACAGCGCACTAGGAAATTAAGAGGAAAGTTTATAGGCTATAGTGGAGTTACGGAAGAGCAGGTCTCAGTTAAGAAGAAATTTAAGGCCAAAGGAGGAGATTGGTGGCTAGAGGAAATGCAGACAAAGACTGCTCTGGAAGGCTATAGATAAACAAAACAGTTATTGCCAAAGAATAGCATTTATGACAATTCTAGGGGAAGCTCGTTTGAGGCGAGGACAGGTGTTCTGCGAACCAGAACATACAAAGCGAAGTACCAGGAAATGGATACAGTGTGCGCTGCTTGTGGAGAGGAGGACAAGACGGCTGAGCAGTTGATACTCTACTGTAAAGGGCTTCACCCTATGCCCACCGAAGACAACATAGATTTAATAAAGTCATTGGGTTTTAGAGACAGCGAAGGAAAAGTGGATTTCAAGCCAGTAGAGATTACCAAGCAAAGATTAAGTGAATGGTGGCAGAAAGCGAGAGAAAACTAGGTATTTTCTTATTAACTGATGGCAAGGGGGTTTTATAGCCTCACTTTCTTTTCAGTGCGGAGTGAGAGAGATTCAACTGGTTTCTCCTAGCATTACAAATGTGACTGCAGCAAACATCTGGGTGGCGTCTCCATACCACAATAGATAAAGCGCCTAAAGTTGTTTTCACGCCAATCTTAATAAAAAAAAAAGTCTTGCTCCTCGCAGAGCAATACCAAATCTCCCCTCTATGTAGATAATTAAGATATACATAGGTAATCTTTAGATTAAGTATACAATATCTTATAGAGGCGAGGACGTTCCAACGACCAAATCTTGTAAGAACTTCGCGCAGCGTACAAACAAGGCGCAGAACTTCCTTTTTTTCTTGAGGTGAAAATATGTTTAGTGTAAAAGCAAGTTTGTTTCGGTGCATAAGGGGCCTTTTACGAAAGCGGTTAGGCTTGGTTTAGCACAACAGGGGCATGCGAACCCCGGCCCGCAGAGGTCATTTTAGCGGTTTGAGGCTGGCCACGGTCCTTCCAACGAAGCCAGCCTACGGCCCGCTTTCAGCAGGCCTGCTGCTATACCGGCGCAAAAACGAGCGCGCGTAAAGACACGACGCTGCAACGCGCATAAACGAAAAGAGGAAGTAAAAACGGGAGAAAACTATCCATCTCGAGGAGTGTCCTCGCGTCAAATAATTCATTATCATGTCATCACCAGAAGTACCACTCTTTAGCCTCCCGTTCTATACCTGCGTTACTACGTAGGTATGTTAAAATTGTTTTGAGTTGCCATGTGTATTGTGCTTAGTGTCCCTTCTTGTATCAATTGCATATTGTCCAGCATCAGTTCTATCACTCTCATTAGTCTTAGGCTCTATGTTAATATGCCAAAGTTGCTATCCGCTTTGAATTATGCCTGGCGAGTTTCCTGGGTCTTAATTATTGTGTAATGTCATAATTAGCTAAATACTGAATTTAAAAATGAAGCGTATGTATTCATCTGCCTTAGATTCTTGTTTTTTGCTTTTTATGCCAACTTTTACGTTTTTATTTGAATGCTTATTAGGAATATTTATATATATATTTTCTGGCCCTGGAGAAAGTGACAAATTCCCGGTCCAGGCCGTTTGCCATAAAGTATGGAGACTCTTGGTTCAGTTCGGTAAAATCTGTACAGCAAATCACATAGAAGCTGGCACCCTGAGGGTGGTGAGAAAACGAAACCACAAAGCGTTTTTACCAGTTTACAGATTACAACTTGCCCAGATAACAACCAAGTAAATTTTTTCTGATCATAAATTAAGTTCCGAGTAAACTTGTTGCGAAAACACAGAGGACGAACACGAAGGAGTGGACAAGGGCAGCGTGCTTGTTTCTGTCCACTCCTTTGTGTTGTCTTCTGTGTTGGCACATAAACATTTACTTAGGTACCAGAAACCAAAATTCTTGCTAAATTAAATTCTCTAGAGTACTTCAGATTATGAGCCCCATTTGAATCTAAAAAAGTATGCTGTAAGATGGAACACTAAAACCCCCCAAAAGACTACTTCCATAAATCCCTGCATGCAACACGGAGCGTGTTGCACTCTGGGAACTAGTTGGCCATGGGGAGAGTGGCGTGGTTTCGGTTTCGATCGACACGTCGACAAGAGGTTATACGCCAACTCATGTTTACAAACAAACCGGAGCGCCCCTAGCGGATGCCACCGGTGCCGCGCATGCGCGATGGGGGTGTGGGCAAGAAGCTCGCCGTCGCCCATAAACAAACCATTGGAATGCGATGTTGTCGGCGTCGGTGTGAGTCCCCCTGCCCTTTTGCGCGTTCGAATTGTTGAATCTACGTCTTCCTGGCGATGTCTGACTACTTGAGCGGCGTCAGCGAAATTACCGAGACTTGTTACACCGCAAAACTTCGCGTGAATAATGTGACATGTGGCGATTCATTCCGCGAGGACGCGGCAGTATGTACGCTACAACCTGATTCGCATGATGAAATTTCGCTCGCAATTTTCAGTCGCGACGCCGCTCGGGCTGCAAAAGCGTGAACCGTAGCTGAGGTGATCGACGTCGATAATGAAAATCGCAAGCAGAATCGGACCAAGTGAATTAGGCATAACAAGTCGGTGATGGTCACTGGTAACAATGATCAACACCTCCTTGTATCTACTGTTTACATCGAACCTGCTTACCAGCCTTCAAATTTAAGTACTTTGAGGCCTGCACTTACTTCTTATCGCAAGTACCGGGCCCACATTTGGTCTACGGGCCGGCGTCATCTAAGAGAGCAGACGACAAGCAGAAACATTTGAAAGAGCAAACGACAGTTCGAACGATCAGGCGGCCGTTTGAACTTGAAGACGCACTGAACGTAGTCCACAGGTGGTCCGCACAACTTGACGGTTTTTCGGCGTTAATGTTGGAACAAGACAAATAAATTGATGACCACAAGTATCCATGAATTCAACCCAAAGTGCTTCCCTCCCAAGCAATCGTTGTCCGACGGCGTCTGCTTTTCCCTGTTTACGACACATATCCATATTCTCAGACGAACCGAGCACGTAAAAACTGACCTTCAAACCTTTCTCAACACTTTTGATACTGCCCCAGTCGCGGCGTTTTGACGAGAAGGCAGGTTTTTGTCTGGTTTCTTTCAAAACAGTGCAGAAATACACGTCTGGCATGGGGACTTCTGCCCACAGCCCCAGACCGGAAGCGCGACCGACGCGCCACCACTGCGCCGTCACGTCACAGAGTTGAGTTCGCGTATACACAGAGCGTGGACTGTTAACGGCTGTTATCTCATGTTTTCTGGCCCCGAGAGCATCATTTTTGGTCTCTAAACTAACCTAAGTGGCCAGACCTCGAAGCTTTAGCACAAGCCCGGGACGTATAGCTTGTCTTAACACATGCTTGTTGTATTTTTGTACTTAAGCCTTTCTGTTAGCGTTTCAAGGTACGTGGACGAGCCAGTGCGGGGAATCTCGACGCTTCAAAGCTCGGGGATCTTGCTTGTGTACAAACCAACAAGCTGTAGCAACCAATAAGTATGCATACATCGAGCTCGCACCTTTACTTTAGTGTTGTTGATCAGGAAGTTTGTTTCGTGAGTCCATAAGCAAAATATAACTTTTTGCAATTACTGTTTTTCTTAATACGCCTGAGTATGCAAGGTAAAACTCTGAGGCGCCATTGAAAAGCTCCATTTGAACACACTTTTTATCTCTTATCTGTACTGACCCGCAGCACTGGACGAAGTGAAGTCACCACCCGCTTGCATTCCACTAATATTCAACATCGCGTATGCGCATAAAGTTATCCTGCAATCCTATAGGCACATTCAAACCGTTTTAAGAAAGCAAAAGTCATGCACTTGTGTGAAGAATGTTGCACCGTTCGACGAGGGTGCGCCGACGGGCATGAACCCCTATGGGGTGTGCCAAACGAACGAAATTATTCAAAGCACATTTGACGGTTGCTAATGGCTATAATATTTGTTATGTATTTTCTTTCTTTCTGACTGAGTATGCCAAGATAATTTCAGACACACCGTTCGGACACTAATTTTGGGCATCAGTAAAAGCTCGTCCAAAAAGGCTTAGTGAGGAGTAGAGGACACTTGTTAGGGCCCCTATCGTAGCTAGCCGATCTCAGCGTTTGCGAAAACTTAATCTTCTATCAGCATAAAATTTGAGTGGGAGATATATGATGACACGAGGAAGACATCATGGTAACTTTTGTGCAGTAGTGAGGTCAAATTTATTAAGTTTCCTTAAAAGTTTGTGCATCAAAGCTGGACTCAACTTCGATACTCCTGTGAGGATGCGGCTTGCTTTTTGCCCCATTAAGTAACAAGAAGCGGACGTTTAGCAAACAAAATACGTGTAAGGCTCAAGGTGACCGAATTTCAGTTGTAGTTCACTAATACTAGACGGGATTATTGAAACTGAGCTCAAAGAAGCACTCAAGGGGAGAGGTGACTAAGCCACGTCTTACTACGTTGGCATACGCTCGCACAATATCCGGTGTTTCGGGAACCAAAGAAAGTGCCCCGGTCTTCGTTTTGTATTGCTCGAGAATGAGTGTATTATATTGTACATTCGTGAAAAGTCAGATAATCAAAGCAAGGAGCGCGTTCGGTCGCGGCGTGAAAGCATGAGATGGAAGCTGCTCAATCGGCTCAATCGCAACCAAAACTGAGGGGCCAACTAGTTCCCCGAGTGCACTGCGTGGTATTTCGCCGCGATGGGGCGCCTCGGTTTCGGAAGAATTCTATTGGTTACAAAATAAACCCCTGAAACAAAACAACTCTCAAAGCTATCACTGTCACTTTTGAACAGCACATGCATCGTATACTGCACATCAGTGGACACTTAAAAACCTGTGAATTTCAGGACTCATCAACAGGGTTGCCAGGTAGGTTCTACCTCAAACCGCCAAATGCCAGACGGGGTAGCCCAAATGTAGCCAAATGGAAGAAATTTATATAGCCCGAAAATAGCCATAATTAACACATCTGCAGAATCCAAAATATTGTGGGCGAAAATGTACGAGCTCAAGGCGAAGGCACTGCGTCTGCGTATCTAGGGTTTAGGAGCAGCTTGCAAGATTTACGACATCTTGAAGTGTATTCAAAACACTTTATTTCCAACGCAAAAAAAAAAAATGTTTTACGTGCGCTTTTACGGTTACATAGTTATGAAGCCCTTGCCCGTGCTCGGCTGACTCGCCTCACGTGATTTCCGTGTTAAAACAGGTAAAAAATTCATCAGTGGGGTTGATGTCCTTACAGCACTCGTTCCCCCCAAGGAAAGGAAACTGTACATAGATGATGTTTCGAAGAGTTGGATGGGACATCTGACTTTGTAAGGAACATGTGGCTGAACACTCTCTCCACAGCGGCATTTGACATGCAGCGTCAAGAGTGCGATGGCAAGCTCGGATAGCAACGGAAACATGGCTCTTGCGCTTCAAACTTGGCCTTGTTCATATTATTCATTGCTGTAAATCTGTTGTCCAATGTTATCGCTCATTGTTCTTTAAGAAACTTTCATGTTTCGCGGAAAAGCCTCCTTCGTTATATACAATACAGCACGAGTTATCGGACGACACCAAATTCTGCTAGATGTTTTGAGTTGCTTTAATGTCATTTTTCCTCGGAAAATGTGCCTCCTGAGGAGGATGGTGGGAAGCTCGAAGAAATAAAAGACGCCAGTAGGAAGGAGAAAGGATTTGGGAGCATAGGCCACAATGAATACAAAAATGACATTCAGAGCTGAATCTAGGTCACTCTAGCTCGCTGGAGCTAATAGGAGCTTGCGTCACGACCACGCATCTTCACAAAAAAAGTTCCTGAGAGCGGGAATCCAGAAAAAGTGGACTGCGCTTTGTGTCCATGCTGAAGTGTATTTTGCAAATCTACTCTAAACCAAGCAAAAAAAGAAACAAAAAAGAGAATTGCCGTTTTAGAATTTTAAATATAGTCGGTTACAAGTCAAGAAGGTAGGAGAAGCTCCTCCCACAAGCGTGATGCGCCCGTTTCAAATTTCTCCGCAGTCGAAAGAAGAGTTCGCTGGAAACGCTCCTTGTTCCGCTTCAATGGATTCCCACTTGTCTCCGATCCCACTTTTTTAAGAAAGCGACCTTTGTATTCATCGGAGAGGGAACCGAGCCCCTGAAAGCAGCCTTTGTATCCATCGGGGGGAAGCTAATCCCCGAAAGTCGTATTTGTTTCCGTCGGTGGGGGAAAACTCTAATCTCCCTCTCGTGGCTTCCACAATGCTAAGTCGAAGTCGAAAGATAAAGCAAATATGTACAGAAAGGCAAGACCCTCCTCGCGCGTTGGCCGCGACGTCACGGAAACGGTGGGACGCTATTGGATGCGGAGGTGGCGGAGGGATATGGCATTCCCTTTGAGGGGCATTTGCCGCTACCTTCTTAACCTGTAACCGACTATAGCACAAAAATAGTCACATAGCCAACCGCCAAATTTCGACGCCAAATGAAGTACCAAGTAGCTCAATTTGACTATTAATAACCCAACCTGGCAACCCTGTTCATCAATTGGCTTGCAATAAGCGGTGCAAGTTTTGTTCCTTTTGGCATTTTTTTAATAATTCAAACATGTCAAGTTGTCATTTTTCAGAAAATGAGGTAGTGTCATGGACGACAGAAAAAGGTGTACAGAGTAGTAATGATACTCTGACAGAGGAAAAGTAACCCTTATAGCTACAAACAGCACAATTTTATGATCATGCATCTGAAACAGCATACAACACAAAGCTGAATAACTAAACAATTTCTCGACAAGACACAATCAGTGTAAAAGCTAAATAAAACAAAAAAAAAAGATGAAGCATAACTAAGCAAAGCTTTATAACTAAGACGTCGCTCTTGACTGCTTACATTCTTAATTAGGTCTGAACTGCAAAACCAAATTACTGTGCAATCCAAATTAAAACTGAAAAAAAGATGGGTTCAAGCTTTCTTAGCTAGCTAAAAAAAAAAAAAAAACAGATTAGAGTACTTTTCACCAACAGAAGGGAAACAATTTCACCAAATTCACCAACAGAGGGCAAACAATTATTCCAACATCGCATCCAAGGAAAAAATATAGCAATCAGGATCCTTTTTCTGTATAAAGCTGTCGAAAAAGATACAAAGCACTTTCTGCAAAGCTATACAAACCAGTACTTGCTTCATCCTAATTAGACAAATTACGGCTGCACCTCCAAAAACAAGTGGAGTGTATCGCTTTCAATAAACCCGCCTGTTTCAAGCTTTTCTGCTGTTGTCAGGATTGTTGCTCCATATGGATGATTTCCCTTTCCTTTGGGCCTCAGAAAGCAACATTCGCGTTCTTCATCAGTAGAGTCACCAGGATTTAACGTTTCTGAAATCATGTTTGATTGGTCTTTGGGGTGAATGACACCAACCGTGTAAACCTTGCGAAAGGGCCACTCCAGCTGCAGGTCTTGTTTCCCGGGGTATATCTTTATGTAGCACCCAATGGGGCCCTTACCCTTCTTTAGGTCTAGTTCAAAAACTTGGGAGACACTATAACCATAAATAACCCTTGGGGGACTCTCCGTCAACTGCAACCCTGCCTCAAGTGCTTTCTTCTTCATGTCTGCCCACCCCTCAACGTACCAGTGGACCCTCACAGGCTTACAACAGCCTAGCAAACGGAGCTCCTTGCTCACATGGTCTTTGTAGTCCGCCATCGCTGCCTGAAGAACTCGCCGTTTTTCGGCGAAACCAGTGGTGCAGACCGTGTTAAGGTTGTTGAGCTGTTCAGCAAGCTTGGAAGCCTCAGCCTCCAATTGGCCCTTGCACCTTGCACCCTCTGCCCTGACGTCTTCGCTGCACCGGTTCAGGCTGGTCTGCAGTGACATGAGGTCCTCGGAGATCTTTCCCGTGGCTCTCTTTATCTCGAGACAAGCACTGTCGACGTCCTTGAGGTGTTCTGTTGCAAGGTTGTCGGTAGGTGCAAACTTTGCTTCGTGAATGCGGCAGTCAGTGTTGAAGTGCTCCAAAATGTTCCACTGCAACACTGAAGAGTGGCACAGGCAACAAGGCACGACGCTGAAGCCACACTCCTTGTAGTGGTCCAAGAGGCTGGCTGCGGTGCCAATGAAGCTGCAGCCTTTAGGTGCATTCCAGCAGGCAACCTGGGAAGGATGAAAAAATACATGAAATATGCGTAAAAATGTGTGTCATCACACAATGTAGATGCCAGGAATGTATGAGCATGGTTCAGTTTCTACATTATAGATTAACAGTATTAACGCTGTGCAGATGCTGTTGACATCAGACGTGTTCGTAACAACCAGGCCTACTTCAAGTGTCGTCACTGTCGTTGTGTACTGTTCCTCTCTCTCCCCTCACTAAGTTGTTAACTCAAGCGGTGGGCACAACCTGTCACATAAGGACAGTGATGGAAGCCGCATTTGACCTTCCATAGAAGGTTTCGTAGCAGACAAAATATTGGCTTGGAACAGCCAGTGACGCTTTTGGAGCAGATGCTTGGTGCCAACATCTGTTTGCACATTGTGGAAAAGACGTCCGAGCTCCACAGTTTTATGGCTTGAACTGTTTGTTTTTATTTCTTGCGCATCAGGAAGCTCGCGCAGCGAGGTTAGAAAAAAAAATAAAAAATCTTTCATCTCTCAAAGCTGGATCCCTGGCAGCATGGATCACGGAAATATAAATAAAATTGTAGTTGATCCATTGGTGGCAATAGAAGGAGGAAAGGGTGTGGGGAGTTATGGTGGCCCATGAAACACTTCTTGGTTTCTTGGTTTTCTGGATTGTTGAAAGTTGCTCAGAGTATGAAGGATGAGAATTTGAGTCCTGAAATGCGGGTTTGATTCGGTCCATAGCAACGATTTCTTGGTGTCTGTTAATGTCAAGAGTCATGGTCTTCTTGGTGCGCTCGAGTATCTTAACCCCTTGACTACTCATTTTTTTTTTCTTTAAAGATCGTACAGAAAGCTTTATTTAAATCAAGCAATTTGCATCAAAATAAAGAAAAACGTTTCCTTGGCTTTCAGGCGTAGTCTCGTGCTCTATACCAGGACTTCTGGTCGTCTCCTCTTCTTCAGTAGTTCTTCACAGTATGATAGAAATCGAGAGATTAGCAGAAACCTCACATAGGACATCATTTTGCCGAAAATTGGGGTCTCCCCTATGGACCTCTTGGACCAGTTCATTTTTTCACTTGCGTCATAATGATGCACAAGGCAAAGTATGCCTTTATCTCATCCGGAGTGGTGTCAAACCATTGCTCCTCATAGCATTTCTTGGGACGATCCTCATCGCCCATCTCTTGTTCGGCGTAGCGATTTGTCTCAGCAGAGACAGACGCCCAAAAATCATGACTTGCAAACACGGAAAAGGTCGACAAGGCGCTTGTCTTCTCACCAAGACTGCGTTGAACCCTTGCTGACACACCTGGGGTTTCTACAAAGGTGAACTGAGCAGGCTGGTTGTCCCTCTTCTCCCAGTTCCACTGACGTGCAGACGCCGAAGTCGATGAAATGCTTTCAGGATTCGCATCGTTTTCAACACTTTTCTCACAGTCCGTTGAACTCTCATCGGATTCCGAGTAATCGGAAAGGCAGCAGGATTCGTCGTCAGAAATACTGGCGCATTCATCACTTTCAAAAAGAAGTCTTTGTATATCTTCGTCCGCCAAAGCAGACCTCCGCGCCGAAGACATATTTTTGGCGCGCTTGCTTACAATAGTGCGCTTATTTTTTGTCAATGGAGCGCCCTCTCTCTGTCAAAAGGCAAAGCAAACAAGAAAAGAACCCAAGGTAAACAGGAGCAACAGGGGTAGTGCTGCCATCTGCCGCAGAGCTCACAAAACAAGCTCTGAAACTGAAACACGAGTCACACTCGTGGTCGGGTTTCATGGTCCGTGAATGGCGGCACGAGTGACAATCGTTATTAGTAGGCAAGGGGTTAAAAGGTCCATCATATGGTGGCGTGAGACTTTTCTTTTTAACTTCTTTCCGGACGAATGCGTGCTGGAAGTTTTCAGATCTTGACTTACGAAGACCTTCTGAGAATGGGGCATTTGAGGTTGTGTGGGCTGCAGTTCTTGAATGAAATGCCTCAAGTTGTCTAACTATGCATGTTGTGGAACTGGTGGAGTGCTCTTGTAATGTCAAAAAATTCTCCAGGGAGCTTTAGTGGCGATCCATAGACCAGTTCAGCCGAGGTGCATTCCAGGTCTCGTCTGAAGACGGAATGAAGGCTGAGAATGACGAATGGGAGATGGTTGACCCTGCCAAGTCGTTCATCTCGTGCAGTGATTGCTGCCTTGAGCTGTCGGTGTAACCTTTCCACCATGCTGTTGGCTGACGGGTCGTATGAGGTAGCACGCACGTGGTGCATGTCGAGGATCTGGGCTAAGGCAACAAACAACGAGCATTCAAATTGTCATCCCCGGTCCGTAGTGACGGTGGATGGACATCCGAAGCGGGATATCCAAACCTCGATAAAGGTCTTGGCGATTGTCTCGGCGGTGATGTCAGCCAGGGGAGTAGTTTCAGACCACCTCGTGTAGCAGTCGACGCAAGTCAGGATGTACGTGAAGCCTTGGCATGATAGCAGGGGGCCCACGAGATCGAGGTGAGCATGGTCGAACCGTGCTGAGGGCGCACGAAATGGTCTCAAGGGTGTGACGGTGTGTCGGCTCACCTTAGAGCGCTGACATTGAAGGCAGCTCGTGGCCCAACCTCGTACATCCACGTTCATTGTAGGTCACACATAGCGAGCTGTCACCAGTCGCTGCGTGGCTCGGATACCCGAGTGGCTGATGTTGTGGAGGTGGTCGAAGACCTGCCAACGAAGTGCCAATGGGACGAAAGGTCGAGGATTTCCCATGGTCATGTCGCTGAGGGTGGTACCAATGCAAGTAGGGAGAGGAATCCGCTTCAACACGAAAGACCTCAGCGTCTCAGGGTGGTTATTCAGCTCAGGGTCGTCTCGTTGCACGGTAGCGATGTGCTCGAAGTCCACTCCTCCAGGTAGCACCAAAAGGGATTCGACGCGAGAAAGAGCGTCCGCTTCTGAGTTGTCTTGTCCTTTGATTTGACGGAGATCTACCGTGAACTCTGAGACGCAGGGGAGTTGTCGAATTTTCCGGGAGCAGGATGCTGTGTGATTTCCATGAAACACTTAGGTCACGCAAGGGCTTGTGGTCTGTTAGGACATGGAACTCGTGGCCTTCCAGGATGTACCTAAAGTGCCTTAGGGCAAGGCAGATGGCAAGGAGTTCACGTCTGAACGTACTATATCGCGCTTCCGCAGGTTTCGGTTTCTGAGAGAAGAAACCTCGTGTCCTCCACTTGCCGTCGAGAAGCTGCTGTAGTGCAGCACCTGCAGCTGTACTAGACGCGTCGGTCATGAGACGGGTAGCAGCCTCAGTTCGTGGATGGACAAGCAGGGTTGCGCTGACCAAGGCTTCCTTCACGGCGAAAAAAGCTGATGCAACTTCATTGGTCCATTTAAGTGATGATGATGGCGCTTTCTTGGTCTTCAGCAAGTCCGTCATAGGCTGTAGAATTTCGGCACAGTCAGGAATAAATTTACAGTGGACTTTTACTAGTCCGAGAAACTCGTGAAGCTAGGTAGGTTGAGAGAACTCACGGATTGCCCGGACTTTTTCTTTGAGTGGTAGGATGCCCGACCATGTTATGCTTTGGCCTAGAAAGTCCAGCACGTCGACATTGAAAACGCACTTCTTCGTGTTGAAGACGAGCCCGTACTCCTGCAGCCGGTCGAACAAAAGTTGCAGATGTCGCTCGTGTTCTTCCGGAGAGGAACTGGCCACGAGAATATCATCAACAAAAGCAAAGATGAAGTGAAGGCCTCTGGTGACTTCGTTTATAAGGCGTTGGTAAGCCTATGTGGAGTTTCGGAGGCCGAAGGACATCCGAACATGCTCAAAGAGTCTGAACAGAGTTGTGATGGCGGTTTTGGGCACATCCGCTGGCTCGACTGGGATCAGGTGGTAGGCCTTAATAAGGTCTACCTTGCTGTAGATGCTGGTATCGGCGAGGCCAGCGGAGGAATCGTGAATGCAGGGGTGTGACATTGGCACCAATTGCGCCATTTTGATACAAACCTAATTTTCTGCGCCTAGTTACGCCAAAAACGCAAAACCGGTCGAAATTGCGCCACATTGCTCCGAAACAACTAAAAAAAAAAAAGTTTGCAGCCACGCTAGACTTTGCGGGAAACAAGAGCTTGGTTGGCAACATTCAATCTCCTCGTAGTAAAGTACACGACACCGGTACAGGGTGGCGCAAGGAACCGCCGGATTCGAAGGTTTCAGCTTCTATACCTATAATACGTGGTCTTTTCCCGATTTTCCTACTACTTTCCACTGTCATTTGCTGCATGCTAATGGTGCGCTGTCACGCGGTCTTGCTGTCTGGCTGAGGGAGGTAGGATGCACAGGCTATTAAGATGAGCAAACCTAAGTATCTCTCGTTGTGAGAGTAAACCTTTTCTTAAAAGTGCTAATGAGCGCCTCCATTGTGCAATTGTTCATTCGTGTCTGTAATCTCGTCGAAATGGACGTCGCCGTCGCCGTGAGTACTTTCGGTTATCACGCACGTGCTTCCAGTGCGTGAGCATTCGAATGAATCGGTCACACACCCATATTTAGCGTCCATGTGGTGCTCATAGTTTTTCTACCAATTTACTATTTACCTTGTGACTCACTTTTGTGGGGAGTGTTCTTCTATCTGCACTGCTTTCTACGAGCGTCCGATCGCTGTCTGGTTGTAGTAAACTGTGCTTCCCTGCTTATGCTCTGGAATCACCGCTTTAAAAAGTTTTGCACTACAATTGCACTTTGGCACCAGTTCGTATAAGCTTGAGGTACCTGGTGCCCACCTAACTTTGCGGCAAGCCTGTGTTTCCTGTCCTCATCTATGCGCATAAAACTCGGTGTTTGGCTTTTCTGTTTTTCTTTCTTTTATATTTTATCTCAGTGCGTATCGGCGCGGATGACTTATTGGAACCAGGGTAAACAAAAATACCAATTAAAAAAGAAAAATTTTATTTATGTGATTTATATCTTTCTACGCTTCTACGATTTATGCAAGATGTTTTATGATTTAAGTTGCTGATAAGCTGCTCTAACATTTTCTGCTCCTAATCTGCTCCAAACTGTAGACTTTTGTGCTTCTAAGTTGCTCCAAAATGCATAAACTGCTGATCGAAAACAAGAATTTTGTGCTCCTGAGCTGCTCCAAACTCCAGATTTTTCTGCTCCAAATATTGCTCTAAAACCTCTTTCATCTATCTCACCCCTGTGAATGTGGCAAGGGGTACCGGTCGGGTACCATGCACGCATTCAAGGCTCGATAATTTCCGCATGGCCTCCGGTCATTTGGATCTTTCTTAGGGACCACGTGAAGGCGCCACACTCTTTTGCTGGAAGAGGGGCGGATGATGCCAAGCTCCAGCATAAGTTTGTATTCTCTTTGCGCGATGTTAAGTCGCTCGACGAGGAGTCGAAGAGGTCTCTCAGACTGGAGGGCTGTTGATAATGACGTGATGTGTCATGGCGTGCTTGGCTGGTATCTCTGTGTTGCACGGTCGGGTTATGGCAGGCTATTCTGCAAAGATGGCTTCATATCTTGAAGATGCCGCCAAAAGGCGCATCGGAGAAGCTTCAAATGGTGACAATACCCTGAATGGTGAACAATGTCGTAGCATGCATGAGGCTTCTGCCACGCATGTTAACGGCCAGGCCAAAGTTCGCCAAGTAGTCCGCTCCCAGTATGGCCTCGCAAAGAACTGCAACAATGAAGACCCAGTGGAATAGTCGCCGCAGTCCAAAGTTGATGGTGAGGGATCTCTGGCCATAGGTGGCGATGCCAGAGCTGTTGACTGCTCGTAGGAGCCTGGTGTGCTGTGCCTGCTGACAGGACGCTAACCTCGGCCCCTATGTCCACCGAAAAACGTTGGCAAGAGATCTTATATATGACATAAAACAAGCGGCTCGGGTGTTGGCCATAGTCACTTGTCGCCATTAGTGACGAGCCGTGAGGTTTCCCGACCAGGAACATGGTTGTTGGCAGCGCGTGGCACGTTCTGCATACCACCTGTGGTACCAGCACAGCGATCTCTCGGCTGACCGTGAGGTGCGTCCCGAGGATGAACTGGTTTAAGAGATATCTCGCCTCGTTCGTTGGGAAGGTGCCTCCTGCGACGGCCTCACAACGGCAAGAGCGCAGGACAGCTGTTCCATGCGCGCCTCGAGTGTTGTAAGGGCAGCTTTCTAGGCAGGTGGCGTGATTGTCGCGATGAACGGTGAAGCGTACCCAGCGGTGCGGTCCGCAAGCATCACCAGACCGTCAAGTGGCATGTCGTCCGCAGTTGCCAGAACCATGCCTATTCCTTGTGGGAGTTTCTGGAGAAATAGCTCTCGCAGCGTAGGGTACTAGGAGCCGGAGACTTGGGGACCGAGCAATTACCACATCTGGTCAAGAAGTTGAGATGGGCGGCAGTCTCTAAGCCCCTGGGCTGGGAGCAGCTGCTGGATCCTCATGCGCTCCAAAGCTGTCGTCCGCTCGAGGAGGAATCCCTTCAGGTGGTCATAGGCGTCGTCAGGGGGAGGCCGGGACAGAATGTCGTCTGGGCCCTTGGCGACTGGCGGAGGGAGGGAGGCGATGACATAGTAGAACCGAGACAGCTGGGATGTTATACGGTGGAGGTGAAACTGAGCCTCGACTTGCATTATCCAGATTTCGGCCAAAAGGGCAGAAGCCGGAGCTGGATGGCCGTGTGGGGAACGAAAAGGCACGCCGTCGTTGGTAGTAGCACCATACCCGCCAACCTGTGGACTTTCAAATTCGTAAAACTCCCGTGACCGCAACCGCACGCATGCACAGGGGCGGGGGGTGTTTACGCGAAGCAATGTGCAGCTTAATCAGCCTCAACATCGTGCGAAACGCTTACATCACACGTGCACGTGCTAAAGAATCCAAACTTCTCTCCCTTTTTGGACGGCACGAAGCACGGGAATTCCGACGTGTAGGACTTTAGGAACACCTGAAAGCACCTCTCTTGAGGTTTGGAGTTCGCCATTGCGCCGCGAAGCCACCGCGACCAGGGCAATGCTACGATTACACGTGCAACAGACACACAGACGCCGCATTGCTCGCCTCGAAACTGGCCCAAACAGAGGCCCAAACACGTCTGGACGTGCCGAACCATTGTGCGCCGCCGAACACACGAACAAAGGCTTTGGGCTTTGGTTTGGGTTTGGATCCGTGGCCACCAAATAGACGGATAGTAAAAACCACGGCGCTGCCGTGGACGGTACCTATCGCCCTCTTGTGGCTGTGTAAGACACTGCCAGCAACGGTTTTACAAAAAAAAAAAAAAATTTATATTTTTTTTTGTAAAATTTGAAGCAAGATTCGTAAAATCAAAAAATTAGTCCCAATTCGTACATTTTATGAAAAATTCGGAAGAGTTGGCAGGTATGTAGCACTGTCTTGTGCCAGGCTCTGCATGCCGGTCGTGGTCATGGCACGAGGCAGCAGGGGGCCTCCGGATTCCGGGTTACCAGTTTGTGGAAAAGGCGCCCAAGCTCCATGGTGTTCTGGCCCAAACTGTCCGTTTTTATTTCTCGCGCATCAAGAAGCTCGCACAGCAAGCTTAAAAAAACAAGAAAAAATTCTTCACTTCTCGGAGCTAAATTCTGTACACATCGCTTGAAAAAAAAAAAGTTACGGCATCACTGTACAAGTTTATCCTTGATAATGATTGAGGATTCCTCTTTTATACTGGAGCATATTACTTATCACCTTTTGTAATAAGAATATATAGAGCACAAAGGGAACACAGAGCCTGCTTTTTTACGAATCAGCCTCTGGTCAGGGCAGGTTCCATATACAATAGGTATTAAATAAAACGGTTGAAAATTAATTAAACTGCAACACTTCAGTTGAGATAAAGTCGCCCCCCCCTCCCTCTTTTGCATTTAATAATTTATTTAGCCCGTAAATGGATTTTTTGTAATGCCTGCAAAAACTGGCTAATTCGTTAAGATGTCTAAAAAGAAATATGTCTCTCTAACATCATGAACTGCAGAAACAATGACTCACCAATACCATGGGAACCTACACTCGCTTCCTATAAGTGACACTGCTAGTTTTCGACGTTGGAACCGAAGTGCAGTCAAGTTTGCTGCTCTTTGGATAGAATGGTGGACGGGAACTAGCTAGACTACCTTTTTTATTCAAACAAGACCGCCATGTTTGTTTCTCTTCCTCGGAAGAGCATTTTAAAATTAGAGGTTAACCTAGAATCGAGACCGAAAGAATTTGAGTAGTAGAGAGAACAATTTCCGAGCTGAACGCGCGAAACCAGGTGCTCCACTGTGTCAGCCACTTCACTGCCTCTCACAACCGTGCGCTGGAAAGAGGCAGTGGAGGCTTTCGCGAGGTGGCGCAAGCCGCTGCCCGATTAAAAGGGTTTAACCGAATCCATCCATCCATTCATCCGAAGATTGGCACGGGCAGCTCAACTGCCACGGTGCACTGTAGCCATAGAATGGAGATATGTGGTTGACACGATAATCAAGTGATACCACCGAGGTAAAAAATCCTTCTTCTGCCTTATCACAGTACCCATTGTCCCACTATTTTATTAATTTTTCTTGCGGCTTTTAGCTCCTAATACTGCCGACATCATCTGAAAATTCAGACGATGATGAGGCCAGCAATGAGCAACGTATGCTCCCTTTCACTTTAAGTCAAAGCGCAGCCGACACAACAAGCCAATGGGAGGGGCCAATCAAACAGCATTAAAAGCACGCCATCATGCCATTCAATATTCCTCTGCAATTCAAAAAGCCGCAAGAAAAAAAAAGGGGGGGTTACTCTTTTCAACATAAGACAAGTGCAATTGTCAACTACAAAAAATAACACGCAGCCGAAGGTTTCTTCAACCGCTAAGCAAAAATGAATGCACGGTTCTCTCGCCAGCCACTGCCCCTAACACCCGTCATGCATAAATGGTTCAAAATTCTGTCTAGAACAATAAACAAAACAGGGTCACTAAGCACATCTATGTGTCAAAGGCAGTCCAGCTGTACGTACGTAATGTAGTACAAGGCTGTTAAGACTCTGAGCTTTTTTTTCAACTTTTAGAACTCTTTTCGTCTTGGGGACACAGGAGGGGAAAGGGGACATGCTCACCAGGGAGCCATGGGCTGTACATTGACCCGCGAAAAGCCGCATGCAATTCGCGAGCCGCAGTTAATTTGACCACCCTTGGGCTCGACCAATCAAGCGCAGCGACTTCCCTATAACTTGAACTTTTTAGTATGTGTGTTTGTGGATGTATGTGTCTGAGCCTTCGACTGTGCTCTGACCTAAGATAAAATGAATCTATATGGTGAGTAGATACTAGAGAGTGCCGAATAATACCAATTTCCTTTCCTTTTACATTTCTAAAAATTAAAACCAACCAATAATAAAGCTTTTATATTTTGCTTTGCTTAAGGCTATCATTGCAGGTGTGGCACAATTTTCAGCTTTTTTGGTGCAAGATGCAACACACTTTTGTTTGTGGCACTTCCATCACTGCAGAGTGATTCCGGTTGTATTGAGATCAGGCAAATGAAAATGAGGAGACCTTTCAATTACGACAACCGCAGAGACATTATATCTACTTACCGTACGGTTCAAGATGTACTTGAGAGAGACGTCCAGCTGTTCAACGTCATCTTCGCAGAACGGCTTCTGGTCGACGGGACAAGAGCTTCCTGTGTTGACGCACCGAGCGTGGCACTTTGTGCACAGTGTGTGTACGCAGGGAAGCCTGACTGCTTTCTTGTACACGACGCCGCACAGGGCACAGGCTCTCTGCGCAATGATGGGCTCTTGGAACAGTGTGGGCCTCCAATCAAGGGCGTCAGAGAACTCAGCAACCCTGAAGTATGTCATTTCCAGTTTCAAACCGTAGCACACTCCGTTGTCGGCAGACATCGAATGCTGCAAAATGAATAACACCTCATTGGAAGATTGTACATCATTGTTCAATACATTTTGGTGAGCACATCGCAACCTGATGTTCTTGGTGATACCCACTCTGCTTGTTTACGAAACCAATAATAAATTTCTTTGCTTTACTGATTTCTTTAATATCAAATTGTTTCTTTTGAAATCTCTTATAGCTTCACTTTTCCCCAGGGGCATTTTTAAGGAAGGTGGGGCGAGAGGTTGAAAGGGAAACTAATAAAGTAGGTTCTAAAATAAAGTAGGACTCGAGAAGATTAATAGAATCGCAATCAGTAAATGATAGATACATTAAAAAGATCAAATAAATCAAAATATTCTTTTATATTTTATGATTTTGCATTTGTACCTTTTTTATAAAAACGTACAAAGGGTTCAACAAGGGTATTCGGCAAGCTAGGCAACCATCGCTGAGCCAGAAACCGAGGCAATGTGCACAGAAAGGCGTTCGACGAAACGTCACAAAGTGTGTTGATGAAAGGAACTGTCCATGAAAGGTTGCAGTGTTGACGAAACAGTCTATAGATGAAAGGTCGCAGTGTTGATGAAACGGTCTGTAGATGAAATGTCAGTGGACGAACGTAGTGCAAACGCCGGTGCGTGTCAGAATCAAAAGAGGCAGGAATCGAACCCCTGATCTCTTTGTTCTGTAGCGCAATCAGACCTTGGTGCGTAACTGGAACAATCCAAACTGGCTGTTAACACAAGATTGTAAACAGAATACAAATATGGCCAGTCAAAGTGCACCCGTGAATAACAATCTTTTGAAGCCACAGTACCAACTCTTAACTACGGGCGGCAACGCTTTCAACTGAACGTTTCAAGGAGAAGTCAGGCTCTTTAAATCAACCGCAAAATTCTGTTTCTTAACCTATCGCGCTACAACATTGTACAGTGTTGCCCACAGATGGTGCTTTATTTTTTTTGTAAAATTTTCAAAGAGTGAATTTATTTGAGGAAAAGGTAAAGAAAGAAAAAGGCTTAGCTCCTATGGAAATGCAGCGAAGCCACCGGTCTTCTAACAATACGGCGCCGTTTCGCACGGGAGACCTGAGATGGCACAAGCGGTCGCGACGCCAACTGCCGTCAACGAACGCACATACAGCGCCGAGAGCCGGCGTCTTTAACAGACAATCTTTTCGACTCAAAGCGGAGTGCGTCCCTCAGCGGCGATAGGCGCAGAAGAAAAAACAGGCGCGGTAATAACAAAGAACTGCAAAGCAGACGACATCAGCGGCGGCGTAGACTTTCCATTTTCCCGAGGGGGACAGGCTGAGAAGTTCTCCAGGGGGGGGAAGGGGTCCAGCTGCGCTTTACCTTCTCGCCAGAACTGGAGATTGAAGCTAACGAAAGCACGCTGGGATTCCATTTCCCATGTATTTTGTCAATAAAGGCAATGTGGGCGTTATTTTGTTTACATGCCACTACCATACTCTGTTTCACACTTGGCATATAACGCTTTCAAAGCTACTGGTGCGAGCATGAGGCCCGATCTCGTTGATCATTTGCATACGTGCTCGAGCAAACAAAACCATAGACAAAGCCACGTGCTCGCGCCAGTAGCTTTGGCAGCGTTGCATATACTAAGTATGAAACGAAGTATAGAAGCTCGTTACATGGCGCGTAAACAGCGTCTCGGTAAGGATCATGGCCTGGGCCCGGGGGGGGGCACGAGCCTTGATGGCCTCCCGTAGTCTACGTCTATGGACACCAGTACCCCGAAAAAAACAGTTAGATATCCCGACAAACCATTATTTTAATTGATTATGTGTCCATTCAATATGTTTTATTAGTAAGGATGATAAAATAATGCATTGGCAATTAATATCAGAAAAGCTCACGCCGCTTTTGACTCGAAAAGATAGTCTGCTAAAGACGTCGGCTCTCGGCGCTGTATGCTCGTTCGTTGGCGCCAGTTGGCGTCACGACCGCTTGTGCTATCTTGCCTCCCATGCGAAAACTTCCTCGAGACGTCGAGCAGTGGGGATGCGTCTCCCTTGCGCTCCTGGATTTTCGGCGTTTCGCCGCGGAACCTGGCCCCTTGGGAACGAGTCTTAACTCTTTTCTATCAGTGGACGACATAGCGAAGCCACGAAATCGTCGTTTTACACAAAAATTCCGCAAGAAAAGCCTATTTCGGACGGAATTTCAAGTCGGGCGGCTAGGCCTAACGCTTTGTCCCTCACGAGGCGCCATGGCGGTCGCAACGAGGGAGTAGCGGAACTTAGCCACACTCATGAACTACATCAAGCGCGATGAAGAAAAGGAGAAGCAAGCCAGCTCCCCAGAAACAGATGCAGCGAAAGAGAAGTCGCAATGGAAGACTGTGGGTGGAAAGAAGATTTGAGTCAAATTATCGAGGAAGTTCCAGACCACCATAAAGGACGAGGACAGAGCCATACGGAGTCATTATTCGTACGAAAGGACTGGACCTGAAGACTATCGTCGTCGGTGAAATCACAGCTGCGATGCCACCGCGACCGGAGTATCACCTCGAGACATGATCGGTACGGACCTCGTGATGAAGAACACCATGAACACGATCACCATCAGGACAAACGACAAGCAAAGGGCGCAGAAGTACCTGGGTATCACCACACTCAAGTACCAGGGAGCTGAAGTCGAAACCCAAGCGTACACGGCCAACCAAAAGGAGTCCGTAAAGATAGTGGTCTTCAAATGCCTCCCAATTTCTATCCCATTCACGGACCAGGAGATCTACAAGCAAACTCAAAACCCCAAGATACCTATATCCGACGCGAAGAGGATGGGCCGGACCACTTCGATTCTCGTCACCTTCGACACCACAGAACTTCCTGGATTTATAGTATTCTACTGCTGTGCCAATAGGTACCACCCATACCAAGAAAAAAAAGCAAGCGTGCACAACGCGCCGGGAAATGGGACACCAAGCAGACTCCTGCCCGTACGAACTCAGACAAATTTGTCCCAACTGCGGCGAGGAGCACGAATTCCCCAGGAAAATTCCAGGCATGCGCACGGAGTTACGTGCACACCCAGATGCGTCATCTGCGGCGGCAGCCACTTCACCGGAGGAAAGGAATGTAAGGACAGATACAAGCCTTTGCCCGAGCCGAGGTCTCCGAAGAAGAGCACTCCAGAACAAGATCTGGAGACGGCGAAAATAGACATGGGAAAGAAGAATTTTCCAGAACTGAGTAACGTCACTATTGCGGGAGAAAACTCGGAAGAGGAGCTGAGCTACGCTCAAACCCTCCGCAAGAGGAAAGGCGCAAGCAAGAAGCAAGACTCCAATCCTAGAATTAAGGAGCTCGAAAAGAAATAAGACCTCAAACGCAAGCACGAGGAGAGTCTGCGAAAACGGGAAGAGCTCAGAAGACTCAACCAGCAACTCTTACGGGAGCTACGGAAGGAGAGGCACGGCCCAAACCTACTGGTTATGGAACCGCCTAATGAACAGACGACAGTCCAAGAAGTGGAAATGGCACCGCCTCCATCTCCGCCCAGTGTACGTCCGCGCAAGTGCACAGACTCGGAGGGCACCGTCAATTCTGTACAGACAGGCGACGAAACCAAGACCAGCAGGCCTGGGAAGGTTAGAAGAAAAGAGCAGCCTAATCAGAACGCCATCCTGGCGGGTCTAGCTAGGCTTGAGACTATGCTCAACAAAATGAAACAGAGAATGGATAACCACGACAAGGCATTCCAGAACGTATTCAAACGGCTCGAACAGCGTGCCAATGGACAACAGTAATAACATTGTCGTGTGGCAGTGGAAAACCGGAGGACTTTGCGCCCGGATTAACTCGCTCAAGATGTTGATCATAGACACGGAAACTCCTTCGGACATTATAGCGGTACAAGAATCTGGAGACAAATGTAACCTGCCAGGGTACGCAGGATTCGATGCAGAAGTTCAGCCAATCGGAAAAACGATTCATACTTTCGTCAGACGACATCTCTCAGTCAAGCAACACGAAGTAGACCTGAATGAATCGGTGAAAGCAATAGTCGCAGAAATTATACCGAAGAAAAAGAAGCACAGAAGCTTATTCATCTGCAACGTTTACTCGAACCTCAAAGACACCATAAGCGCAAGCGCCAAGGTTTTTGCGGAGACGAGCCGCGTAGCGGGTGATTCCGACACTGGTGCTGGGCGATTTCAATGCGCACAACACCATATCGGGCTACGACAGAGACACACCCAACGGGGAGGGAAATCGCCAACCAAGCCGAGTTGCACGAAGATTTTCTCCTAAACGAAGTTACAGACTATACCAGGATCGGAAACAGTGCTCAGAAAGACACAAACCCGGACCTCACGTTTGGTATCAACATCGATGACTACACGTGGCTGAACATGCGTGAAAATCTCGGCAGCGATCACTACGTCATCGAGACGAGGGTCCCCCTGGCCGGATACAAGAGCGCAAAATTCCCAACGCAGAAATGCATGGACTGGGACAAGTTCAGGCAGAAGCAGAAAGACAGGCCGTTGCACACGATCGAAGAATGGTGCGCACAGCTAGTCGAAGATCACGAGTCTGTTACGACCGAAGTAGAAAATCCCACCCAAGCCCGGACTATGGACAGTAGACTCCAGCATATGCTAGATGCTTATCGCTCCATATACAGACGACAGAGGAACACCGGAAAGCGGTACCGTAAATTGAAACAATATGCTGCGCTCAGAAATTAAATCAACAACAGTGGCAGCGAATGTGTAACGAACTGCAGGGAAGGCTTCACACCAACAGTTCATGGACCCTATTCAGGCACATGTTGGCGCCGGAAGATACCAAACTTGAGAAGCGCAAACTCCTAGCGAAACTCGTCAGAGACCTCAAGGATGAAGAAATCTACAACAAACTCAGGACGCAATACTTAGAATCTCTGCCATCTACTACTGAGATTCCAGCGGAATACGAAGGGGCCATAAACGACAAGTTGGAGCGCCCATCACCGAAAACGGAGTCAGAAAGGCCATGGCTGGAGTCAAAACGACTTCCGCACCAGGCCAAGACAAGATTACGAACCGCATGCTACGAAACCTCGACGACAATTCCATGGAGCGAATCACGGAATACTTTAACAAGCTATGGACGAGTGGAAACCTTTAAAGCCCTTTCCGACACGCCACAGTCTGCTTTATACCAAAACAGGGCAAGCCACTCATTTTGGAGAACTTGCGCCCGATTTCCCTCACATCTTGCGTGGGCAAGCTGCTGGAACACATTGTTCAAGTATGTGCTCAAGAGTACATGCAGGAGAACAACCTGTTTACGCACCAAATATTCAGGTTTCGGAGACACCTGTCGACACAAGACGTGTTTATACAGCTCAGAGAGGAAGAAGACAATAGGGAATGGACCGCTCTAGCAGCACTCGATCTGAAGAAAGCCTTTGATCGCATATCACACGCGGCTATACTCAGGCAAATCTCGGAGCTGGGACTAGGGAAGCAAACGTATAACTATGTTCGCTCGTTCCTATCAGGTAGGATGGCAAACATTCAGCTAGGAGGAGACACGTCCAAAACCTTCCCAGTAAATGTTGGCAGCGGAACTCTTCAAGGAGCAGTAGTATCTCTCTTCAACATCGCCATGCTGCCAATGTCGTGGAAACTTGACCAAGTCGCGGGGCTGCAGCATGCAATCTACGCTGACGACATCACGATTTGGACAGTGCATCACTCACCATACATGGTGAAAGTGATGGAAACCGGCGTAGAAATTGTCAAGGAAGAAGCTGCAAAGATGGGTGTGGAGCTTGCAACTGAAACATCGGCGCTTCTAGTCAGACCACCGTCGCAGAGAGCTCTAAGAGAAGAAATGGAATTCTACCTCAACCTGCAAAAAATTGACTTACTGAGAGCCAAAAAAGGTTGAATTCTCAGCATAACGGTAACCATCAAGAGGGAGCAGAGCAGTCTCATCGCGGACATCAAGAGAAACGCCGACAACGTAGCGACACTCGTGAGAAGAGCATCACGAAAGAGCTACGGATTGAAAGAGAATGGAACATGCCGACTGGTCCAAGCCTCCGTCCTCGGCAGGATAATGTACGCGGCGCCGTACATGGACCTGACCGAGGCTGCAAACAAGTAACTCAACGGAATTGTGAGAAAAGCTTTCAAGATAGCACTGGGCATACCAGTATCCACGTCTACAGAAGCGATGGAACAACTAGAAATATACAACAGCTTAGAGGAAATAAGATCTGCACAGAAGCAATCGCAAGTCCTACGGCTCTCTAGAACAGAAACGGGACGCAGGACTCTCCAGAGAATCAAGGAATGTGAACAAGTCTTCACAACCAGAAATGCAATATCCCAAGAATGGAAAGATTCGGTACAAGTCCCGCCCCTACCGAAAAACAAGGACAGGAGAGAGGCCAGAGCAAAAGCGCTGGACAAGCTCCACGGCAACCGGGAACATGTTTACCATGCGGACGCAGGCCCGTGCCCAGGAACATGGAACAAGTATGTGATGGCAGTCTGCAGCACCAACGACAAGACTACAGCCTCCGTCTCTGCGGAGAATATTGACGAGGCAGAAGAAGTAGCCGTCACCTTGGCCTTAACCATAGCGGCATCCAGAACCCAAGTCACAGTCACCTCAGACTCGAGAACGGCCATCTCGAACTTTGGTGATGGAAAGGTTGGCAAGGCAGCCCGCAAGATCCTTCAGAAGAAGACATCGCAGACAGGATCCAGATTCTCGTTAACCTGGGCGCCCGGACACTCTGGACACTCGGGGAACAAAGAGGCCCACGCACTCGTAACCCGTGCCCAACAAATCCGGGCGACGAGCTGCCAAGCCACAATGGACGGAGACCACTGCTACGGGGCCTTGCCATACGACAGAGGCCCTCGAGCGTACGATATTCTAAGAAGTACCCGAATGCAGCACAAGTTCATGGGTGCCCCTCATAAGCAGCTCTCGCGAACCCAAGAATCGACATAAAGAAGATTTCAGCTGCATAACACCCTAACTCCCCGCATGCTGAGCAGAATATGGCCGGATCTCTTCAGCGACGAGTGCAAGGAATGTGGTAGTGTCGAAGGTGGCTGGGCGCACACGTATTGGATGTGCCCGAGCAACCCGATACCAGCCACGCTCCAAAGGAGACTGGACGATCAAGACGAAGATCTCCCCTGGTGTGTGCTCCTGGCCGCAGAGGACTACGAAACATGGTTGGCAGTGATTCTAAGGACACTAGGAATAGAGCATCCGTTAAAGACCCAATTGTCGGAAAAGAGATCCCCCCCCCCCTTATTCCCCTCCCTAAGGAACTCTCGTTTTGGGTATAAGCCCATTTAATAAGGTTCAATAAAGTTGCTGACTGACTGACTACTCTCCCGTGCGAAACGGCGCCGTATTGTTTGAAGACCGGTGGCTTCGCTGCGTTTCCATAGGAGCTAAGCCTTTTTTTTTTTCTTTATTTTTTCGGGTCCATATCACATGAGCGAATGATGTTTTAGCGAACGGCGACATTTGAGCGAATCTACGTTTTAGAGAATAACGGGGGCGCGCGTTAAGCCATCCGCCGCGCTGCGCTTTGCGCCGCTTCGCGGCGACAGTCTGCGGCGGCTCATTACAAAAATGTGAACCCATTCGGCCCACCCGAAAACGCCGCTTCGCGGCGTCCTACTATTCGCTAAAGTGTCATTCGGTGAAACGTGGGCGTTCGCTAAAACGTCATTCGATCAAGTGAGTGCCTCCCTGTTTTGTATTGTCCGTTACAAACATTCCTCATGGTGCAGATGGTGTCAATCGAATGCTGAAAGTTCCAACCGCTTCGTGAACGAGTGGGAGGAAGGAAATCGGCTTACCAACCTACAAAGCTCGCTTTCTGTGAAGTGAACAGTCTTATACCAGCATTACCGACGTCAAACTTGTGCGAACGATGCAACCAACAACCGTCCACTTAACTCAAAAATGCTGCAAAACGCGCTTCGGCCTACGGATAGGCTTGGAAGAAGCCATATCAGCTGACACAATCCAAGCCAATCCAAGCTCAGGAAAAAAAATGGCGCGGGTTTTGTGACGCTGCAGTTGCTGCAGTACTCATCTTCTCACGAGCTTCGCAAGAACATCGTTGCTGGTACTTATTCTAAAGTCAGAGGAGCCATGTCCGCCATGTCCTGCTGCAACATTAACGCGGACAGCGCGGGCGCACTGACCCATCGGCCGCTGCACCACAAGAAGTAGGTACCAGGGGGGCCTATGCTCGGACAAATGTTTCATTTCTCCAAAAAAGAAACGGGAGTGACGATATCGCGTCTGATTTGTTAGAGGCTCAAATGACAAAAGTTGCCTCTTTCGTCATTTGAGTTTCTAGCTAATCAGACGCGATATCCTCACTTCTGTCACTTCTGTTTCTTTTTTAGGAGAAACGAAACATTGGTCGAACATAGCCCCCCAGTTGTAGCCAGCGGCCCCGGAATAGGGGGGAGGGGGGGGGGGGGGGAGGAGGAGGAGGAGCAATGGGGGCTTCAGCACCTGCTGACAGTTTTCAGGGGTGTGCTGGGCAATATGCTGAGCCCCCGTGCATTTGGCTCAAGGCCTCCCTCTCCCCCAGGGCCAAGGTACGGGCTAAGGGGGCTGCAGCCCATGGCCCCAGGGGGCCCCGTTCTAATCCCCAGAAATATGCAGAAAAAAATAAAAGAAAATGTTAGTTGGTTTTAGTTCAGAACAGCTCAGACCTGAAGGAGGAACAAAACTCAGAGGAGCCTCTGGGGCCTGACTTCCTGACGTTGTGCCACTTTTTTTTTTTTTTTTTCTTCAACGGGGAAACAGGGGTGGCACAAAGTTACCTTATCTAGACGAGCTGGTGTTTCTGGGCCCGTTGTAAAACTGTGCTAGAGCAACGAAATGTAACTGTTGCCTCCCACGCTCCTTGACAGAGGGAGCAAAGCTGTTGACGCTGGCAGTCCCTTTGAGGTCTCTTCTAATTGAAATCAGACTGAAGGAAGGCCACGGAGTTCTCTGTTGTACTGGGGCCCCCTCGACGCGTTTGACGGACAACAGTGTGTTGGAAAGCAAGTGTTGCCGAAGGCTACACGAACAACATGCTACACATCATTTTTTGTATATTTTTGCTCTTTTAACGTAGTTCCATATGGAAAGTTTCCTCCAAAACGATAAGTTTAAAACAAGCAAAAATAAATATTGCTGAACCTTCCAAAGCATTCCTTTTTAACCACTAACAGGCGTTTCAAAGAGCCAACTCTTGAGATGTCCCCCAAAAGTTTTCGAGAGTGACTGCAAACAACTGCTCTGGAGCCCGTGTCTGATCTGCTAGTGCGAGACACCTTTTCTGCCATCGAGCGACATGATCGCTGCAATTTTTTTACGAGCCTCTGAGGTATGACCTTTCATTCTTAGCTTAGAGCAGGGGTGGCCAAGCTGCAGCTCTTTGTGTGTTAAAGTGCGGGCCTTGGCTCCCTAGTATACCTAACCCCCCCTCCTCCTTTCCCACCTCCCTCGCAGTCAAATGATCACTTCCCCAAGAAAAGGAATGAGCTTTAAATTGAGAGAGGTTTCAGTTTGGTCCTGTGCTACCACTACCATAAGTATGTACAGTTGGACTGCTTTTGACTCAGATAGATCTAAAGTAGTTCAAATTTCATTTATTGGTTTACAAAAATGTTTTACCCCTTTTTTTTTTTGTACCTTTTCTTTTTCAGGCAGTCCTTGGAAGTTTAGTGGTTTTGTTTGCGGCTCTTAGGCCAGGTCAGCCTGGCCACCCCTAGCTTAGAGTAATATGTCTGAACGGCTGCGAAGTTCTGTTACTGAACTTAGAAGAAACAAGACCATTTCCAAAACTAATTGAAACATTTTACTTTGAAAACAGACAGCATGTAGGAGAAAAGTATGAAAATACCTCCTTTTGATCTTCATAAGGTACCCGTGAATGTGCCCAAAAGGTTTTCCAGAGTCGCAATCTTCAGTGTCAGGACTCTGATTTCGGTACAACTGTTTTACTTAGCATTAATGTGACAGCAGTAAATACCTGGGTGGTGTCTCCATAACTTAATACATAGAACACTTTCAGTAAAAACAATATTGTTTGCTTCAGTGATAAGAGGCCTCCTAAGGAGGGCACTCGCCTTGCGTTAGCACGTCGGTAAAATCTGTACAGCCAACCACTTTGAGATGCTTGCTCCCAGACTCCTGAGAGTGGCGGGAGGAAGAAGCCTTGAAGCTTTTCTGACATTTCAAAAATAGTTAAACTTGTCCAGATGGCAGCTCAATAAATTTCTTCAACACACAAATTAGGTTAGGTTGCTTATTTCGGAATACAAACCTTGTGCGATAAGGAAAGGTATGTCACGAGACGGAACGCTAAAAACCTTTGAAACCCTGACACTCCCCAAAATTTTTGTTTTATTTTGTGCCAGGCAATTTATTATGGTGTCAAAAGAATACCCAATCAATATTTTGCTACAGCGTCACATATATTTTTAACAAAGTCAAAAAACGCAACTGCTCGAAATCGAAACTGGACTGGAAACTGGAAGAAAAAATAGAGAGGAGAGAGTTGGAGGAAGTCACGTGGCTGTGCAACATTTTGTTTCTTCAATCAACATATTTGCGGCATTTTAGAAGACACGAAAAATGGGTATCATATTTCTTTTCTATTTTTAATATTGAGTGTGTGCCTTTGATGACCCACGACTTCGATTATATTTGGTGGTCGTGTCTAAAGCATGGAAAACGGCACGTGAGCATAGAGAAGAGAGTGAGCGCTACTCGAACCGGCCATTTCTCAAACGGCAATTTTGAAGCAGAAAGAAAACAAATTTCAAGGCGCAAATTGTGTTCTGGGTAGTTGGACTCTCATATGTCATGTACAAATAAAAACCTTGGCGAGCATAAATACCCTGTCGGTGTCCCTTTAAGAAATAGGCCCCTAAAATCTCTAAGTTATCACTGTCAATTTCTTTTGAGCAGCACATCCACTGCATGTTAGAGAACCTACCTACTTTTTGAGACCCAGCCTGGCCCGAGCCCGCTAACTCTTAGTTTTGCCCGATCTGGACCCGGCCCGAAGGGAGCCTACCTGATCAGGCCTGGCCCGGTGAGAGGCTACTGCGTGCCTGAACTCTTAAGTTCAAAGCTGCCCTGGGAAGGTGTTGGTGCATTTGATTCATTTGCTAATTTGCACGAAAGACGCCGTCATATTGCAGTTACGTGGTGAACATACGAAGGCTTACACAGATATAGAAAACATAGCTTATCTTCAGTAGCCAGAGGCATTCTTTTTTTTATTCGGGAGTTCGAAAGGGAAAGGGAAAGACAATCGCACTGTCCTGTGACCTGCCGGCAGCTGTCCCACTATGCTGATGGAATACCCAGAATTCTCTGTATCTTGTGAGTATTCTTAGACCAAGATAGCTTTCTTTATTTCTAATATATATATATATATATATATATATATATATATATATATATATATATATATATATATATATATATATATCAGGGTGTCGAACCGGAACCGAACCGAACCGAAAACCGGAACTGAACCCGAACCGTTATATTGCTATCGCGATGAACCCGAACCGGAACTGAACCGGAAAAAAAATAACGGTTACCGGCTCATGTCAAAACGGTTCGGCCACGCGCTGTTGACAATGAATGTGCTATCAATGCCATTTGTTTTTTAAGTGCCGTCAACTGACACACACCTCGCTTACATATTTTTCTTCTCCACTCAGTCTTAGGAATATAAACGCTGCATCCATGAATCTTGACAAACGCTGCATCCATGAATCTTGACACAGGAACCAGTATTGCACTGGTGACGGCTTACACGGAAGAAAGAGAATTGGAAGGCTGTGCAAAAAAAAAAATCTCGTTACGGGATTTCATTTTCCTACAATCTCGTAAATCCTAAATGCTGTTGTGTGCTCATTTCATAACACGTTTCTAGAACGCGCGAGTTCTTGAAGCTTGCTTCCATCGGAATGAGAAAAGAAAAGGCTGTGGAGTTTGATAATAATGCATCCGGTTTTGTATAGGCACTTAGAAGCTAACATATTTGTGAGACAGCGAACTCTTCTATTTTAATATTTATCCTATTACGTCCTTCTGGCGTTGTGTTCGGTGAAGGATTTTTCATATTCCGTATCTTGTTTAATGAAAACTTCTTTAAGGGTCTAATTTGAGTTACTGAAGGCTAGTTCAAATAAAGAAAACTGTATTTTCTCCCCACTGTTCCTTCAATTGCTTACACGCCGAGGTGGCGGGATAGTTAGCGAGTTCTACTTGTAAGTGGGTTTGTAAGGAGGTCGCGGATTTTACAGCAACTGCGTCGGACCCAATTAGATGAAGTCCGAATGCGTAAACGTCGGCGAGGTAACCTTTGAGTGCACATAAAGAAACCATTCCTGGTAGAAATCCCTGAGCCTTACTTACATTACGATGTATCCCGTTTCGTATGTGCTGATTTCAGATGTTTTATTTGTAATTTATTTTGATGTTGCAATTTGTCATTTATAATTTCCGAACCGGTTCGCGGATCGAATTAATCGAACCGGAACTGAACCGGAACAAAATTAATTTACCTGAACCTGAACCGTAACCGAACCCTATTTTTTTCGGTTCGACACACTGATATATATATATATATATATATATATATATATTGTAAAGTAGTAGCAAGTTTGCACTTTGGCTTTTTCGTTTTTCTTTTTTTTTTATATCTTAACGATCAATGCGTTAGCATTTTCTTCTCAATGCTTTAGAAAGTGTGCTACACCGTTGCCCGGACCCGGCCAAGACCCGAAAATCAGCCCTGGCCCGAATCGTGGGCTGGGTCGGGCTCGGGTTTTCGAGTAGGCCCGGCCCCGTGCAGAGCTCTACTGCACATCCCTAGGGCACTCTTAGAAAACAATGAATTTCAGTATTTATCAATTGGTCTCGATAAACAGGTGTCAGTTTTGCTCCTATTCATTGCTCTTTTTTTTAATAATTTCAAATGGGGTAAATACATTGAGAGTTGCTATATTTCAGAAAGTGAGATAGTGCAATGGAAGATAGAAAAAGATGTATTGAGTAGTAATGCCTCAAAATATGAAAGGATGACTTTTATTCTGTTATACACAGTGCACGATTTTCTAAACATCTGTCTGAACTAACCCTTAATCGAAACACCATACAGCACTATG